AAGCTTATCAACTCTACAATAACAAAAATAATAATAATAATTTAACCATAACAAGTTCCAAATAATCTCATTGTTCCAAAAGCATATAATTAACTCAAAACAAAGTTTCTAAAATCTCATAATCAAAATCCATTGGAGCCAACAAGTAATGCATTTCATCGTCAACAACCTCAGCTGACTTCTCGTCCTCGATCCTCTAGGTGATCGATCAATATTTTTTGGTACTGTCTGGTTTGGTTATATCTCTCTTGAGCTTCTCAAGCCTCTTGAGCTTCTCAACCAGCATTTGACAATCAGTAAAATTTGTGTCTTCTAATCCTTTTTCTTGAAAGCCATTTTCCTTCATATTGCTCACGGCAGGAGAATGGCCATTTTTTAACCATTACATGCCAAATGACAGCAGAATCACCATCTAAGAAGCACAACGCGGGTTTTCGCGTAAACACACAACAATTTCAAGGCATAGTGCTAAGAAGCAATCAAATATACCATAGTCTTCAATGGCACACACTAGTTGTGTCATTGGAATGATGTGAAACCACAAAGACAGAAGAGCTACCATGCCATTGAAGTCCTCTACGTAATGTGTTATAACCATGCATACAATCAAGAATGAGAAATCAAATATACATTTGATAAAAGGCCCATTCTCAAAACCCTAGGTCTTCTTCTATAATTTAAAAAGACCATAACGGCAGCATAGCAGGATAAACATACAAATTCACCAAAATCTTGCAATATGGCACCTGTTTCGTTGTTTCTGATGTGCTCTTTGTAAACCTTACTGTTTTTGAAGTGGCTACAAGCAACCAGAAAGGAAAACGGTGCAAGAAATGACCAAAATTTTTCAATGGAAGCTTCAATTAGGGCTTTCGTGCTCTGTCTAATGCTCGATGTCGAGGATGCAAAAGCCTGCTTTAGTCTTCTGAAACTAGAGAAGGGTTTGAGTGACAGTGAGAGAATGATACAAGAGATTAATTGAGTATACAAAATTGACTGAGACTATGGCTTTAATATGGTTACGTTAACTTGTATGCCTAAAAGTTAAAATAAAAAATAATAATAAACATCAAGCCATTTTTAATTTCTTAATATAAGTTATATGAATCTTATGTTTTTGTTTTGCTCTATTTTAAGATCATAGTCTTGATCAATTCCACTTAGCAAAAGTTTGCATTGATTTTTTTTTTTTTTTAATTTTAATTATTGATCACCATGGAAATATCATAAAGGAAAAAAAAAATCTCATTTAATTTGTTGGAGATTAACATCTACTAGCATTATGATGGATTATTTAATTTAGGAATATATAGAAGGTGCTATGCACATATAAATTTGTCATTGTAAGTAATGAATGTTACAATATTTTTTATACAAATCTATATATATACTAAGAATATAGAAATAGAAATAGAAATATGAAATACATTACCGAGTACTTGAAGATGGCAAAAAAATGAGGTAGAAGAAGAAATTCTGAAGAAGAATTGAAAGCGTCACAATCACAAAAATCCCAGTAATTGCTCCTACTGGGGTAGCCTTATTGTAATAGTCGGTCCTCATAAACAGAAACATGTTGAACAGGATAGAAAGAAAATAAATTATAAGCTTTTTGGTTAGCCCATTCGTCAACATCTTCAGCTCCATTCGTTGTGATTTATCTGAACCATAGAAACATTATTAGCAAATTAAACATTAACAGAAGATCTTCAAAATATATATATATATATATATATATAAATAAAAAATACCAGAAGATTGATAGTTATGTAGTTGGAAATTTTTTATTCTACAATAGAATTATTATTAATAGAGTAATGATATGTACAAGTTTTTGTTGCAATCCGATTGATAGAGTTCAACAAGGACTTGTTTAGGACAAAAATGAATTCTCTCTTATCATTTAATTGTTTCTTGTCTTTTAAATGTTTTTACAAAACTCCCATCGATATTTATATTAATCTTATCAACAAAGAGTCTTTGTCATGTTGAACTCCATTTATAAGAATCGCTTTCCACTGTTTTTTAAGAATGACCGCACGGAGTGTATTAATATATTATGAAGAAATTTTTTAACATTAATTTTTATTAAATTAATCCACCAAATATCAAATAGTCCAAACCATATAATAATTCCTGGATGCTTAAACTTCCCAAAGTCCGGGTGGATGTCCCAAGTGACTGGTGAAAACTATATATGTAGGGCGCCTTTAGAAATTTTTATTTTCGGGCGAATTTGTAATATGAAAATAAAATTTAAAAGTTATAGTGCAATATTTTCTTTAATTAGAACTTTCAAAAAAAAAAAAAAAAATGATACATATATATATACACACACACCTTTGCCAAAGAACTCACACTCTCACACATATTGTAGACTTTCTAGATAGTACCAGATAATCATAATACTTATGTTCTGGTTGGTTAGAGAGATGAAAAAATAGATGAAATTACGTATAGGAGGAGGGATGGATGAGCCATCCATAATGAAGGAAAGTTGGCTTCCTCACTTTTTGTATGGTTAGGTGGAATAGATAGTAGAAATAATAGGAGTGATTTTTTTTTTTTTTTTTTTGGGTTGGAAGGAAGGAGAAGAGAGTTTGTATATATATATATTTATTATTATTATACCCTTATTTATAAGGCAGTAGGGTTTAACAAGCAAACTTTTACGAAGGTTAAAAATAAAAATTATATTTTGTTGGTTATTATCATTGTCATCCCCTCTTATTTCCTCCCTCTTTTCTTTTCCCTCCAACCAAATATGAATTTTTTATTTTATTTTTACCCCCTGGTCATCTATGCCTCACCAAACACACCATTAGTAATTTTTTTTTGTTTTATTTATTTATTTATTTTTTTATCTGTTTTGAAAGGTTATAAGTAGCAATTTTGTCTTTTTACATCATTAAAAAAATAAGAAAAAGGAGTGGCAAGCATTAACATTCAAAGTGTGATAGTACGTATTTGGTGTGCAATAATCGAATGCAACGCTCATTCCAATCATCGCATGCATTAAAGGTGTGAAGAAGGAATGCATTGGCTGTAAATCTTGTCAGTAATCCCTAATGCTACGTTTGGTGTGCAGGAATGGAATGGAATGCAAGTGGGAATGGAATGAGAATGAGAATGGAATGGAATGGCTATTCTCATTCTATTGTTTGGTTGTAAATATGAAATGTGTAGGAATAGAATGATAATAACCATTCTAGTGTTTGGTTTGACCAATTTAAAATTTAGAATGGAATAAATTTCTAATTGAATTCTCCAAAATATCCCTCTTAGTAAGAAATAAATTAAATTAAATTAACAAAATGATATTCTCTAATAATTTTTTAAAAATAAATGGTGGCGGTGGATGGTGGAAAGCGATAGTAGTGTAGGTGGTGGTGTTGAAAGGCGGCAGTGGTGACAATGGTGAAAATTGGTGGTAGTAATGGTGGTGGAAAGTGGCAGTGGTGGTGGTGGCAGTAGTGTGGTGGTTGTGGTGAAAGGAAATAGTGGTGTGACTATAGTGGTGGTGGAAGACAGTGGTGGAAGGTGGTGGTGGTGGTGGTGGTGATGGAAGGTGGTGGCGGTGGTGGAAGGTGGTGGTGGCGGTGGTGGAAGGTAGTGGGTGATGGCGAAAGGTGGTGATGACGGCGGTGGCGGAAGGTGGTGGTGGTGGCGATGGTAGAAGGTGGTGGAAGGCGGTGGTGGAAGGTGGTGATGGAAGGTGGTGGCGGTGGTGGAAGGTAGTGGTGGCGGTGGTGATGGCGGAAGGTAGTAGGCGATGGCGAAAGGTAGTGGGGGAAAGTGGTGGTGATGGTGGCGATGGTTAAAGGTGGTGGTGGCGGCGGTGGAAGGCGGTGGTGGAAGGTGGTGGCAGTAGTTGGTGGTGGAAAGTGGTGGTGGTGGTGGTGATGGAAGGTGGTAGGCGGCGATGGTGATGGTGGAAGGCGACGTGGGAGGCGTTTGCGGCTGTTGAATGCGGCGGCGGTGTAGGGCGGTGGTGGTAGTGGAAGGTGGTGGTGGCAGTGAAAGGCGGTAGCAGTGGTGGTGGTGGAAGGTGGTGCCAGTGGTGAAAGGTGATGACGGCGATGGTGGTGGAATGTGGCGAAAGGCAATGGCAGTGGTGGTGGTGGAAGGTGGTGGCGGTAACGGTGGTAAAAGGCGACGGTGGTGGTTGCGGCAAACGGTGGCGGAAGCGGTGGTGAAAGGGGCGGCGGCGGCGGTGGTGGAAAGTGGTGGGCGATGGTGAAAGTCAATGGTGGTGGAAGGTAGTGGTGGTGGTGAAAGGCGAAGATGATTGTGGTGGAAGGTAATGGTGGTTTTTAGACTTGGAATATGAGGGTGTTTTAGGAAGTCGATTTTTTAAAATAAATTACTTGGGAATGGAATGGTCATTCCATAGGTTTAGTTGTGAAATGGATTTTCATTCCTAGGAATGAATTTTCATTCCAATGGAATGACCATTCTCACTTTAAGTTGCATACCAATCAAAAGAATGGTTAGAATGGGCATTCTATTCCATTCATGCACACCCAACGTAGCATAAGTTCTTGTCTTAAAAAAAAAAAAAAAAAAAAAAAGTAAATCCCTACTTAAAATACCCACAAAAAAATATTATCATCAACTCACGTGAATTGGAGCCAAAATGTATCACCAGAAGAAAGTTTAATGTCAAAAAACGAACGTACAAAAAACAAAAATAAAAAATTGAAATAAAAGAAAAGTAGAAAAGCCAGCTGTATATACATTGATGTTGTTAAATCCGCCAGCAAGCTAAACGGCAGGATCTTAGCCTGTGAAGAATTCAATCATATTAGGACAGAAAAATAATATTTTTTATTTTGTATGGTTCGGTGACCAAATTTGAATGATCAATTAATTTGATTATACTACTTTCTTGTTAGATCAAAAAAATGTATATGATATCATCTATTTTTAATACAATTTAATTGCTTATAGGATCAAACACTTGGTTTCAAAGCAACTCAAAAAAGTACAAACAAATGGAATTAATACACGAACAAAAGAATGTAATATTGTTTCAAGATAACCAATAATAATCTTATTTACAATAACAGTTTTTCTGCATATACCTTCATTTGTTTAAACTTTAAACAATCAAAACCATCCCAAAAAAAAAAGCACACAATTGAAGAAAAAGTATAAAATAATAAAATAAAAATAGAAATCCAAAAAAATTACTATGGTGTATTCACTTGAAGAGGTCTAGGTTTAGCCATGGTCCTTCTCTTCCATAGATTAATTTCTTTCCTTGGCTCCAAAGCTACCCGTCCACCTCCACCTACCAATATAGGTGCAGAGAAAGGAATAACGACTTCTTCTTCTTCTCCGTCGCTCTCTCCTCTATCTTCGTCGGAGGAATAATAATTCCGGTGATCCGAGTCCACCGGTGCAACCTGAGGCGCCGTCCAATCAAAATTGGCGAATGTATCACGGCTGCTCGCGAACCGCCTCATCTGACTCAACCCCGGTGCCCTATCAGGAACCGCCGGCGGCTTGTGATGATCAGCAGAATGGTCAGACTTCCTTCTTGATTTCACGCCACCAAATATATTCCTAATCGTGGACGACGACGACAACTTTTTCTTCACCTCAGGTTGCGAAGACACGGTCTTGAAATCTTTGGGCAGCGAAACAATTTTCTTGGTCTTCTTAACGTTGTTGTTGTTGTTGCTGTGCCTCTGCTTGTGCTTGTGCTTGATTTGTCCCATGCATGAGATCTTCGGCGAAGTGGGCTCTTGAGCTTCGAAGCTCGAGTTCTTCGACTTCCGGCGAGCTTCCATCGGAATCATCGATATGATCGGACCGGAGAATCCTCTGCCGCAATTGGTTTTGAGTTTGTGTGTATTATCAGATCTTGGGCTGCTGAAATTAGTAGGGTTTTGAAACCTCACAACTGAAGCTGCTTTTGGTAGAAACTTTAAGAGCTTGCTCTTTGAGTTAGGTGGTTTCTGATCCATTGCCATGAGCGAGCTTTGGTGTAATGTGTATTTTTCAATATTTTCTTCGATATATATCTATATATATATATATATAGAGGGAGATCGAGACACAGTGACAATAAGGATTGTTTTTTCTAATTATTGACCTTTTCAAGAAAAGAGAGAGTCAGATGAATGAGCAAAACCAGCACACCAGAGTTTAATGGTACAGCTTGGTATGAAATTCACATTTTCACACAGTAGCCCAAAATTTAAATTTGTATTCAAAGTCTACAACTGAGGGCTGATTCAAATGGACTAATAAATATGACTTATTTTAATGAAAATGGTGTGCTTAATTATTACTTATTTTAACTTGGAATTGGTATGGTTGGATGATACCGACATTTATTGGGATTACACGTGGCTTGATGTGATGATAAGATAAGCTTGACAAGTAGATTTGGACGAGAATTGGCTTTTACGCCATTTAATTTTTAATCACGTGAATTATGGACTTGTGAATTTTGAAAAATCACAAATTATGACTTTTTTTAGAATTTCAAACTTGAAAATGACGTTTGGCACAAGGAAATTAGGGTACAAAATACATCATTTCTGCCGGCTTCAGTGTGCGATGTGTTGAATTTGCCAAATATACACATGGCTGAGAAGTCTAGTGGTTCTTTTTTCTTTTCTTTTTTTCTTTATTTTGACAAAATATTTTATATCCTGTGTGCCAAATGTATAAGTGAGTTAAAATAGTAATATATGCATATTAATTTTAGTTCTACTTTTTAATCTTAAAAAGTACTCCTTTCGTTCCACAATAAAGGTCCATATATTATAAATTAAATTTTTTTAAAAAAATGCAATTAATGCATTGTCACTTTTTAAAATTATCAAATTGTCTTTTTTAATTTAAATATATATAGTTACAAAATTTGAAATTTTTTAAAAAAATAAAGAATGAAAATATAAAAGAAAGATGATTTGACTTTTTAAAGAGGAGAACTGATTTGGAACATATAAAAATGAAATAATGAGACAACTAATATGGGACGAGAGAGTATAAGGTTGAGCATTTAAGTTTTCATGGATTCAAATGTAAGTCAACTTTATTTGTCATGATATAGATATTTAAAAAAAAAATGAGTAAAAGTAAAATAAGACCAACAATCTGTAATTATTTTATACACCATTTTTTTTTTTTTTTTGGTAAATAAAAGTAATTTTTGTGGTCAAATCTTAAAACCAATATTAGGTTAGGGTGGGTCTCGAACCTACAAAATTTACTTTGAAAACTTAGCCGGCACTGTCCAAACATGTGTTTGGTTGGTTAATCATTTAGCTTTTGTACTTTGTCAACCAAAAATTAAATATGCAATCATACAACATGTGCTTACAAATAGTTAACCACTAGTGTGTGTGTGTCTATATATATATATATATATAAGGTTAAGTCTGCTCCACACTTCATTACCTACACGTACATGACGAGAGATGTATGAAATGGTCATTTATGGTTAATGCGTTAAATAAGATTAGAGATGCAATATTATTTTATTAGGTTGGCCGAGGGAGTGGTATATTTGTCTTGATTCATAGTAAGAGTATAAATGATTTTGTCATTATAAGGCAATTTGATTTTGTAAGTTTCAATAAGGTCAAACACGTACTGCCATACACCATATGAAAACATTTTGTCGTAGAATTCAAACATCTACGCGCTATTTCCATCCAATGTACGCTATACCCACAGATATATACACATATTATTGACATAGATTGAGAGGTTGAGATCGGCCCAAATAAGAAAACTGGAACAATGTACACCAAATATTTTATCTTGTTTTTGTTACTGTTACATTGAGTGTCTTAGAATACTTCATATACCGAGCAACGACCTTCAAAATATAAAGTGAGAAGTCTTTATTATTAGGTTATTTTCTTGAATTAGCAAATGTAATACATAATGTCTAAAATACCAAGAAGTCTGCTGTAGACTTTCTCATTAATGATGCGGTCCACCTTTCATCCTCCCATAAAATAGGTGTTAGGGTGCCGTAAATGTAGTAATTATTACTGTGTGAATTTAGATAAAAATTTAACTAATTTTATATGAGTGAAAACTGATATCATCGTGATGTTACAAATAATAATAACTTAAGTCTCTACTCACATAAATAAATAAAAATTATAGGACTTCTAAATCCTGAATCATTATTATTCATAATATAGTGTCTCCTGTCAATTATAAATTATTATTATTTAGATTTAGAAAAATAGACAATTTTGCATATTAAGTGTTCGGGATATTTTATTTCGATATATATATATATATATATATATATATATATATATATATATATTTCCCTGATGTGCCCACCAAGCAACTTAACAAGGTTTGGGGGTGTGGACACTGGACAGCCATGTGCTTCGAGCGTCAAGTGGTGTACATATAACTTGCGAGTATTCATCCGCTCGGTGCTTAATTTATACTGTATATTAAAAAACGAATTGAATGAAGAGGAGACAATAGGACAGGGACGTGCTTGGGAACCACTAGTCCCGGGGGCAGAGAGGAAACAGAAAGGAGTGTGTCCCCCTAAATCGTGATGAACCATGTCTCTTTGTATCTCAATCATTCACACCAAAGGATAAATAAATAATAAATAAACAAAATTGATGTAACAATGTACAGGGGTGACAATTTGTGGACATGTGTCATAATCGTGTTGTATCTGATTAAAAATATTATATTAAATAATTTGATCGGAATACAAATCGTGTCAAGAATTTTCAATACTAACTCGATCTATTTATTAAACGAATTATAAGTATAACTCATTTAATGACTAATTTACAAAAATAAAATATTATATTATTTAAATTATTAATAATCCTCAATCAAACAATAAATATTAAAAATATATAAGTTTCAATCCAATCACATTACTAAATAATCTTTAGTCTACAAAAGATTAAATTATAAAACACAAGTTTAAATAGTAATTTTGGAACTCAAATAAACATTTATTTATGACATGTATAGTTAAAAGTGTATAAACGAGTTACACGGATTGAATTCCTCAACTCAAACACGACACGATTAACTAAATAGATTAATCATATTAACCCATTAATAAACGAACACCCGCTTAACTTGTGTCAAGTTCAAGTCGTGTTGACAAATCATGTCAAATTTTGCCACCCTAACAATGAATTATGCGTCTTGAGTAGATTTCTTAATTTACATTTTTTTCAATCCTTAATCTACACAATTGAAGCAGATTTCTCTCAAGAATATTGGTGTGTTTGGAACACCGAATCGCATCTTGAAAGTGAGATTGGAGAAAATTCGACTTAAATTTTGGAGAAAATTCGACTTAAATTTTGAACTAAATTTTTTTTAATTTTAAATCCAAAATACTGATTCGATTATTCCAAATATAATATAAAATAGGTACAAATATAAAAGAGAAAAACATGAAGACTACTTTGATGGTTATGATATTAGAATCTTTTTTACTCAACTGTTAGAACATTGTTTCCGAAGGATGTTAATTAAACAAAATTTGAGACTCCTTTCAACTTAAAATGAATTAAACATTCTAGTTCTAAGTGGTAGGATTTGTATGGAAAATGTAAGGAATATAAATAGATTGAGTGTTAGACTCACCTAATGATTTAAGTTTTTGGATGTGATCGTGAAGCATTCGACTTGCTACACTTAGTATTAGAGTCATCTGATGTCACGTAGAATGCCCGATCAAAACGTGACCGATCAAGATGGAGAAAATCGGATCTAAATATAATGGGTATAAATGAAAATAGTCTATACATCATATCCGAATGGAAAATGATAACTGACTAGTGAAAAATAATTATTAGACTTGATAAACCCCCACTCCTTGACTTGGAGACATATGGTATGGTAAATGGGCCGAACTCCTAGCCCGTTTGACACAAACCAAAACAAAAAGAGAGTGCATTTTGGGTGGGTTGGGCTGGGCTGGGAAAGGTAGTTGGGTAGCTGGATTCCGGGTGGGTTAATTATCGGGTGAAAGTTGAAACTTGAAATAACGAAATCTGCACGCACAACGAATTTCTTCTTGCTGACAACAACCGGATTTCGATTTCGTTATTGAAAACGTCCACGCTAGAGAATAAGGAAGAAAGGACACTCGATTTTCTCATTGTCCCCAAGGTATACCTAAACTTTTTCCCTTTAAAAAATTTGTATTTGTTTCATACATTTATTGAATCCTAAAATCCAAGTTTTAGGGTTTTTAAGGAGTAATGTCACTGAGTAAATGTAAACGATTGATTTGATTGAAGGATTGAACTGAAAATAAAATCACACACATAATTTTTTTTGGAAGAATCTGTAACTGCTATTTTTGTATATCATAATTTCTGGATTGCAAAATCCTGGTGTTCCTATGAGTTAACCCTAACTAACATCCCTATGCAAGCTTTCTCTGTCAATTCAATCTTCGGTCAGATGGTTGTTTGATAAATAGGTTTAATTGTTTGATATGTGTGTGTGTGTGTTTGTGTGCGCATATAACTAGTGGTTTCATGTTGAGTATTGCTAGTTGCATTTCATACATTGGCTGAGTAGCTTGAGGAAATTGCTTTGCATTGACATGTTACAAGGCACAGCGTAAAATGGCCGTTCTTATTTATGATTGTTTGTGGTTGCATTCGTGTCCATGAATGGAGGTAATGATTTTAATGAAGTAGATGACATTAATGAGAATGAATCCATTCTAAGGAATTTTGTGCATAGCATCAAAATGCAATTTGCTTGTTTATGGGTATAGCATGTTCTTCGTTAGCGTCTAGTACCTTTGAGGTTCATGTAGGTCCAAATCAAAGCGATTAAGTTACTTTATGGAGGAGCATTTCTGTCATTTTGTTGTCAAAAAGTAAGGTAGAATTGCTCGAGTACTTCTGGCTGTTCTGCTATTACAGCTAATGATGGTGTCTCTTCACAAGGGAAGAGGGCTTATGGGAGTAGGTTTAGCCTGTGAGACTGGTGGCCCATCACCTATGTTCATGTATCATAGGCTGTTAATTTGCATTTTAAAACCTTAAATGTTTGATTGATGAAAAGCAACTGTAGTTCATTGAGCTTTTACTGGAAACAAATTATCACCAAAATATGCTGATGGATATTTTAGCGCAAATAGTCGGACATTTTATTTAATTTTTATGTCTCATTTATTAACCAAGACTATTTCAAAACTTGCGTTTATGTCAGGTCAGAATCATGAATAATTTTTGCCGAATTTTATTATGTAGTCTTTTAGCTGACTCTTTTGAAAATACAATAAGTTAATAATTGCCCCCTCAATCCTCCTTTTTCTTTTTCTTTTTCTTTTTCTATTCTTCTCCTCAACAATACTATGGTTAACAATTGCGAATCACTTAATTGTGATGGAAATGTTGAGAGGTACGTTGCCTATTTCGGCGGTTTAACCCTTGAATATCAGGGTCATTGGTACAAGTTCGAGTCTTAGAGCAGCCACTTTGTGAAATACCAAATCTTAGGTTTGTCTTGAGTCCCCCCTCCCAAAGACCTTGTTGTGGCAGGACCAAAATTGGATAATGTCCTTTGTCACAGAGTGTTGAATAATTTTTGGATGTATAATCTATGTGACATGTGCTGAGGTATGAGTATGGGATCAGATCTATTTTTAATTATCAACGCGTTCCCAAATCTTAGAATGCGGGGGCTTGACTTGAATGGGTATGTAGAAACATTTTTTCACATTAAGTAACATTTACTCCCTCCGTCCTAAAATTCTTGTCCATCTTTCTATTTTGGGATGTCCCAAAATACATGTCCCTTTCCAAAAATGGATGTACTATTTTTTGTGTCCATGAATGGATGTAATGATTCTAATGAAGTAGATGACATTCGTCAGAATGAATCCATTCTAAGGAATTTTGTGCATAGCATCAAAATGAAATTCTCTTGTTTATGGGTATAGCATGTTCTTCATTAGCATCTAGTACCTTCGAGGTTCATGTAGTTACAAATCAATTGATTAAGTTACTTTATGGAGGAGCATTTCTGTCATTTTGTTGTCAAAAGTAAGGTAGAATTGCTTGAGTACTTCTGGCTGTTCTGCTATTTCAGCTAAATGATGGCGTCTCTTCACAAGGAAAGAGGACTCATGGGAGTAGGAGTTGGACTGGTGGCCCATCACCTATGTTCATGTATCAGATGCTGTTAATTTACATTTTTAAAACCTTATGTGTTTGATTGATGAAAAGCAACTGTAGTTCATGGAGCTTTTAATGGAAACAAATTATCACCAAAATATGCTGATGGGATACTTTAGTGCACATAGTCAGACATTTTATTTAATTTTTATGCTTCATATATTTTCCAGGGCTAGACTAATTGAACATTTATGTTTATGTCAGAATCATGAATTATTTCTGCTGAGTTTTTAGTATAGCCTTTTAGCTGACTCTTCTGCAAATGCAATTATTGTGAATCACTGAATGTGATGGAAATGTTGAGAGGGCCGTTGCCTATTTCGGCGATTTAACCCTTGAATGTCAATGTCATTGGTACGAGTTCGACTCTCAGAGCAACCACTTTTTGAAATACCAAATGTTAGGTTTGTCTTGAGTCCCCCCTCCCGAAGACCTTGCTGTAGTGGGACCAAAATTGGATAATGTCCTTTTTCATGGAATGTTGATTAATTTTTGGGTGTGACCTATGTGACAGAAACTGAGGAATGTGTATGGGACCGGATCTGTTTTTTAATCGTCAACGCTTCCCCAAATTTTGGAATACGGGGGCTTGACTTGAATGAGTATGCAGAAACATTTTTTTACATTAAATAACAACATAATGTACGATGTTACTATTTTTAAAGAATATAACCAATTAGAATTTAAGTTAAATGAGATGTGCTAAAGAAGGCAACCCCATATCATGGTGTGTGTATCAAAAGGAAAAACTATACCCATAATTATCTCGTATTTTGTTGGCATGTTATGTTGAGAGGAATAGGTAATGCAGTAAGTCACATAGTGACATGGTCGCACCAGTGGGGCAAACTCTAATTAGAAGTTCATTTGTGAATGCGTCGACTGAGGTCACACTAGTGGGGCAAACTCTAATTAGAAGTTTATGCCTCAACTGAACTAATCCTAAGAAATTAATAAGTTTGAATGAGATCTTATTCTGAATTTTGAACATAATTTCGAAATGTTAATCTCAATTTGCTTTCTAGTAAAGTTAGTCATTATTTGGACCAGCTTTGCTCTTAAGATAGACTCTGATTTTGTAGTATGCAATTGTGGAAGAGAATCAGTTATGGTTCTCCCCTTGGATTTGCAGGAATTTATCCTCCGTGCTCGAGTATTGAAGCTGTATAGGCAAGCTCTAAGGACTGCTCGAAGAGCCCCTGGTCATGCAAGAGGTAAGGTTTTGTAACTTCTGAAAATCATGTACATAACCGACACTTTGTGGTTTGGAAATAAGCAGAATATATGGCAGCTTTTAACATGAGGGAAACTTACAGGTTGTTTTGCCAAAATTTGTACTTTCTTCCAATCTTATATTCACTAACTCCCTTTGCCTTTTCTGTTTGTTTGTATTCTTGTTTGGATGACTTAATCTTTGTTCAAAACCTTGGCAAATTTATAACTATAGACTTGAAAATCCCTTGTAATTGGAATTTAAATTTAACATCATCTGTTGCACTGACAACTCTCAATTGTCTTCTTTTCCTTCTTTTATTTATTTTTTTAAATTTATTTTGTCTCTTATTTCCATGAAGTTTTCAAGGGTAAAAATTTCAAAACACTGCTGCTCATGTTGGTGTGTAGATGTTTCAGAAAAGGACCCTTTTCCTTTTAATAGACAAATAAGGAACAAATTTACAAAGACTTTTCAAGCAAATTATTTTTAGTTTGCAAACTTTAGATTATCTGACGGAGTCAAATCATTATATCATATGCATTAACAGAGCAACTATCCATCAAACTTCTCCTCCCAGGAGTAAAAACTTGCTTTGCTGGTAGCTCTTTTGAGAAATTAGATTCAGAAATGCTTATGAATTGTATTTATATTTTCAAAGGACAGTGTTTCTGACCATTTTATAAACAGGTTGTCTGTGTTTCTATTTTTTTTCTTTGTTTTTATATTTTATTTTAACAAGGACCTCGGTTTTTCATGATAATTTGATATCATTCTTTTACATTTTCATAGTCATTTCTTGACATAGTCTTTTACCAAAATTTTCACCTGCTTGTGATTAAATTTTATAAGTTGTTTTCAAACATTTTCCTCGTTGAATTTACAAATTTATATCTCGTTTACTTCTCAACCTGGTGCCCATGTTCCGAACTTGTAATTATTGTTATTGGTATTTCATTTTTTCCATAAACATATATAACGGTGTTGCATTGATTGTGATGGATTTCACAGTTGAATTGAAACAGCAGATTAGACAAGAGATGGAGACTAACCGGAACTGCACTGACAAACAGAGGATTCGTTTCTTGGTTAGTGAAGGATTAGAGAGACTGAAAGGTCTGAGTGAGATGCTCGATATGCAAGGTCATTGCTGATGTAGTGAGTGGGACTCTATTTTGTATTTGCAAGGAATTCTTCCCTCTCCTGTATCTGTTTCAACATAGTTCAGTGTTCATCAACTTTGGTCCCTCATAAAGGATGTGTATTTTTGTTGTCTCCATATTGCTACCCAAAACAAGCAAAAGAAATCCTTTGTTGTTTAAGGAATTGGCAGTTTGTTTGGAGGGATGAATTCCATTTTGCAGTTGTGTCTTTTGGTTTTTTTACCCAATTGAACCTGTGGCATGTTGTTACAGAAAATGAAAAATAATGTTTTTTTTTTTTTTTTTGAAAAAAAAAAATTTATTCTAAAATCTGATAAAGTAATTCCAAATTCTTAAAAAAAAAAATTATTCTAAAATCTGATAAAGTAATTCAAAATTCTTTTCTTTACTACACTTTTTCCATGTGGTATTATTTAGTGGAATAATTGAAGAGATGAAAAATCTGAGCATGAAAGGCACCATCATATATCATTTGATGTTTAACAAATGACAATTTAAAAGGAGGATTTAAAATACAAAAGGCTTTATAGCAATGGGTGTTAATTTTTCTCTGATTTTTTAGGACCTTGAAGCTACTCAAAAGCTCTCAACAAACCATTTATGTCACACAGCACAATAAAATAACTTTAATTCAACAGTAAAAAAATTTATTGATGTGTTAGACATGGTGAGTCACAATTTAAGGGGGCTGTTTGGCATGGATGTGTTTTAGGCGTTATATTTTTTATCAATACCAAAACAACCCTTTTGGGCAGAAATCGGAACTATATTTAGTAACGATACGAAAATTTGTTTTGAGAAATTTAAAATTTTACTTTAATTTCTTTGCTACAATATTAAAACAAACTATATCACCAATGCACTGATATGTGTTTGGACCAAAAAACATGTGATATGTTATGAACTGTTCCAAACCAATATCCGTCAACTAAAACATGATATGAAAATTTGGATATCAATATCAAAAAAATAATATCATGACGCACGTCAAACGGACCATAACTATTTGTTTAGGTACTATGCTAATGTCTATAGATGAATTTAATTATGATAAGGGATAATAATAATAATAATAAAATCAATTCAGATACCTCACTACACCTTATAAAAAATATCTCATAACTCAACCCTAAAGTCCCAATTTCATATCCGTCAGCACATCATCCAATTCTATGATGAAATTATTTTGGGCTTTGTTTCATAAAAGGTACCAATTCGATTAGTTCATAACTAATATGGTATAAATAATGTGATCTGATCGGTTAGGTTTCAATTTTTTAAAAGAGTTGAGATTAATTGATTTTAAATATTACTAAATTAATTTAATTTAAAATCCGCACTGCTAGTGAACAAAATGGTCGTGTTGCTTGCTTATAAAAATATTAAATTGAGTTCACGTATGTACAAGATTTTTATTTATTTATTTTTCTGCTCTTTTTTTTTGTTGGATAATTAGCAATTTGTAATTTTTATTCAAATACTAGTAATAATAAATTTCAAAATGAGTATAATTTCTCTCCTGCTTATTTAATATTTATAACCGGCAAATTTTATTGTTGCTGTATCGCCCGCAAAGAGAAGATGCTCCCCAACGTCCATAAATGTCGAAACCTCGCAGTCTCTCTGAACCACCTCCGCTTCAACATAGCCCTCCGCCACCGGCGTTTATTACACAACGGCCCAGACACAATAGACGAACTATTGGACAGACACCTGGTCAAGAAAGACAAAACCCACCACGGCGACGACGAAGAGAATGACCTCCTGACTCGGCAGCGACTCACCAGCAATCGGCGCGAGGCGCTGAGTCTCTACCGGGACATCCTCCGGGCCACCCAGTTCTTCATGTGGCCCGACTCGCGAGGCGTGCTGTGGCGTGACGTTCTCAGAGAGAACGCCCGGAAGGAGTTCGAGGCGGCCCGGTTCGAGAAAGATCCGGAAATCGTGACCCGGTTGCTCATCGGAGGACGCGAGGCTGTGCAATCGGCTATCGATAAGCTCGTCGAGAAACAGAGGGAACAGATTGCCAAGGAACGCAGCGATCAAGATCGTCGCTGATCGTGGTAATTTCTGTGTTTCGTGCTTGAGTTCGAATTTGTAAGATTGTGTCAATTTGTTCTATTTTATTTTCTAATTAATGAAGAATGTGATTTACCACAATGTAATTATGCCGTGTTGTTTTTCATGAATATGTTAGATTTTGCACTCACGTATGTTGGAATCAAATAATTTGATTTTTTGCTTTGTTTCGAATAGGGCAAGGGTTTGAAAAATTAACTGAATGATTCAGAATTTTAACTGAGCATTAGTTTAACATAATTATATATTAAACGGATGAAAAACTTGATAAATTAATTTAAATTCATCACTACAAAAGCAGCACTGATTGTAAAATTATTAGAGGTAAAATCATAAACTAAAAAATTGATTCAATGCGCAGTTTTTCGATAATTGATTCAAAAAATGCACCACTCTTATTATGAAAAATTTAAATTTTAATATATTGAATTCGAATTGGTGGGAGCTTGACCAGTGGCCCTCCCTTTCTTGGAATGTCTAGGTGCATTGGTAGAATCAATTCCATGTAGGTGTATCTCTGGTGTGTGTTTGATCGTTGGCCTTGTCTGCTTCTTGGAATGTCTCGATGAAACCGATTAGTAAAATATCTTTCTTTCTATCCCACTCAATTCCGTGTAGGTCTGCATCTGGTGGGAGTTTGATCAATGGCCTCGTCTATTTTTTTGGAATGTCTAGGTGCTTGGTTAGGGCCCGGTCTGTTCCTTAGAATTTCTAGGTGCTTGGTTATAAATTGATTTGTAGAATTTCCTCTTTCTTAAAAAGGGGATTTGTTAAGTTGGATTTGGAGTGTTATCTTGGGTTTTAGCTTCTCACTCTTCCCCACTCAATTCCATGTAGGTCTGACACCGTTGGGAGTTTGATCATTGGCCTCGTCTGATTCTTGGAATGTCTAGGTGCTTAGATATTGATTCATGGAATATGCTCGTTTCTTTGCAAATGGGCTCGCTTGCCAATATAGCAGTTGTTATCTAGTTATGAACAGGGTGTTTAAATTTAAAGAGATAGTAAACAAAAGTGTAGCATTAGCACGAGTCAAGTTTCAAACATTTTTCTGAACTGCCTGTTCTTCTCATTACTGTGCGCTAACTTTTTCCCATCCTCAATCTCCCAAACTTCTCGCCTAAACAAATCTGTGAATTACTTCTTTCCCTAATTTTGTTTACATCTCAGTGACTGGAGCATATAGTTACGACCTTTAATCTTTTTGGTATTAAGCAAGATGGATGTGTCAGTTATTTGGTGTAAACATTTCTACGTTGAGTTTAGTTCATTGAATATTTCTACATGGAATTGATACTGGGTAATCGTTATGACATTTGGTCTAAAATGCACCCCGCGCAACTTCCACGATCAGTGCCTTTGAAAGCCCTTTGTTTGATGCCTTTGGCTCTTTGCTCATGTAGCTCGTTTATGGGAACCTTGGTGATCATCCAGATTCCAATGATCATAAGTTCTTCCTTGGGCTCGAACACAACTATGTAGTTTTGAGTTAGTCCTATTTTAGTTATATGGGAGCTGTTTATTTGTCGCAGAGTAATTACTATGTATTTTTAATTGGTTTTGACTGAGGATCGTGTTGTTATAAGTTTTGGACGAACTGAGGGTCTGAGAGGTCATTAGTCGCTTAATAACAAATTAACAATGTATCTTTCAGTATTCTGACATGAATAGGAAAGGCTGGGTAGCTTGTGAAATGTTTCTGTAACTAGAACAATGGCTAGGCTAAATAGCTTTTAGTGACTAACAGTTCAACCTATTTTTAATTGTCAACAATATGTGGCTGATGAAGTTGACTCAGGGATAACACCAGTACGAGTGACTATATTTAAGGGCTTTGTGACATGGACTTAACAAAACAACCACGAGAATAACGTTAGTTATGAGAGAAAAGAAATGATAATGTTATCCTTTCAACTTGCTTGGTTGATTAATGAAGAAAAATATAGTATTAACTTTACGTCTTTCTTCCACTTGTAGAAAGATAAGAAAATTACCACGCATGGGTTTGTGAATCCCTCTTTCTCCTTCCAAATCCATCCATTTCTCCCTCTTCTCCTTCATTTTTTCCTATAATTTTTTCCTTTGACAAAAAGTTCTAGGGAACACGCACTATGCGAGTATATTTTTGTCCCCACCGAAGTAGAACACTCGACCTCCCCAAGGGGAGGAGAGCTTATACCCAATCGTATTCCTTCCTATTTTTTCAAGACAAAACAACACAACATTTCTATTGATATCATTCCTTTTTTCTTTTCTTGTTTTTTTTCTCCTCTCATTTCCATCAAAAAGAAACGGGCCCATAGTTTTTGGGAAGGTGATTTCTTTGTTATTCTGGTGGAAGTTCTGATTGAGCAATGCGGTGTGTCTTCATTATATATGGGTTTCATTATATAATTGGTCTGGAATGAATTGCGAGCTAAAATGTTCTCTCTCCTCTATGTATGTGTGGGGGTTTCAATGTGGGAGCATAGCATTGATCCTTAACAAACGCTCATGGTCCCTGCTTGGCTGCTTTCGCATCTGCTTGAGTTGAATAGTGCAAAACTAGATCCGTTTCTTGCTCTGGTGTCTCGCCAAGCGCTCGGTTCTGAAGGACCCGGCATCGTTTTAATATTTTTTTCTTTTACGGTTGTCGGGATGCTCTTGAATAATCCAATTTAAGTGAAAATTTTAGTTGGTTCAAGAAAAATGATGATATAAATGTCGATTTGAATATTGTACCCATTGATTAAAATGAGAGAGAGAGAGAGAGAGAGAGAGTTGATTATTAATCCTTTTGTCTATTCATTATTACTCTTGGTTTAATGAGAAAGCTTCTCTATTAATCAAGTTTCACAAAACAATTAGTTATTATTGTTCTTTTCCAAAAATAAAGAAGAAACAAATGAACAGTGGTCTTGAAATTTATTTTATATTTCCAATATTTAACTTTCTTTCATTATTAATTTTGACGAGGATTGAACTAGGCCGGACTAATCTAGTGAAGCAAAATGTACTAGGGCCTTGGCATGATTTGTTGCATGATGCCCTTGAGAATTCTGTGCTCTGCTAAACCCATCTTCTGTGTTTTTCGAATAGCTTTAAGCCTCTGCTCGAAGTTCTGTAATTAGAACTCATCGAACAACACAGTTTGACTCTGCTTTCTTTATCGGCTCTTTTCCTTCAATCGGGAATTTACTCGTAAGAGTCGGATTCAAATCATCCATGTTTGTTGAGCAAGAGTCATATCCCCATGGATGGGATGTCTACAATCAAAGTCAAGTTCTCCCAGAGCGACTTCCACCCTTTTCTCTCCCAGCAGAAGAGGAAGAAATGCTTCATATGCTATGGTCTTAGAAGATATTGGTGTTTTGTTTATGCTCCGAGATGAGATCATGGGTCTTTTGCATGGACGACCCGTCCTTGTGCACTTAGTCGGAAAGCAACTTTGCAATCTACAGTTTCTCTCTGTACAGAATATGGCAGCTAACCATTTGGTTGAGAGGGTTGGTTTGTGATTTGGGGTTGTAGTATAGCTCAACTTTTTAAAATCATTAAGTTAACCTATATAAAAATGCTAACCTACATAATAGTTTTTTCTTTCTTGTTTTTTCACACCAAATTGAATACCGATAGATTAAGGGAAAAAAACGGAGCATCTAATACCTACTGGGCCGTACCCTCCACTCATAATCATAATACTCGACTTCAAAAGCCATTTTTAGTTGGCACATGAGCAACAACATTACCTCCACCAGGCATCCAAGCCAAAGCCTTAAAAGTTTTTAAAGCCAAAGCCTTAAAAGTTTTTAAAAGAGAGAGAATATCATGAAAAAAAATAACACAGGGAGGTTGACCTATATGATAGTACAAGATAACACAGATAGGTTGACCTATCTGGTAGTGCAAGAACCATAAAAAAAAAAAATGCTAAAATTTGCCTTTGCTGAATATATCATTCTTACTGATGTAGTCTAATTATAAATGTACAAATAATTTATAATTAACTTTTTAAAAAAGAAAAAGAAAAAAAAAGTAGCATGTAATTACAAAATTAAGAAAGTTATAAAAAAGGACATTAAAGAGAGTGACTAAATTTATTTTAAATTATTTATTATTTTTTTAATTTTTTAATTATAAATTATTTGTGCATTTGTAATTGGATCCGTCACTAATCAATAGACAAGTCTCGTCTGTGTATTAAATTTAGATAATCTCGTTCATTTGTCAATTTTTTTTCTTTTTGTTTCTGATTAATCAAAGAAAAATGATCGTCACCGAGACAATCAACAGAAACCATAGTCTGCTGTAGCCATATGATGCAATAGAGTTGGACTTTCGTGGATTAGAGATTGTGTCATGACAGATAATTCAACAGTCAGAATATTAAATGATTTAGAAGGCTAGTTATAGACTTGGTCCGTGTTTACACCAATTTTTTTTTTTTTTTTTCAAATTGTTTTGATTTTAACAAAGAAAACCCAAGCAATAAAGGATTTTATTACTTTTATTCAATATCACTGTTGTATTTAAGTTTTTTCCTTATTGCGGTTCAAAGCACCCGAAAATGGAGTGTGATATTACAATTTTTTTTTTTTTTTTTTCTTTTCCTTAACAATTGATTAAGCTTTAAAACTTATACTTTGATTGGAACTTCGGTTTTGTTTGGAATCAAATCCTTTTGAGATTTAAAATTAGAATTGAAAAAGGAATTGGATTCTAGTTAAAATGGAATTCCATTTTGGGTGTGGAATAAACTTAAATTCATTTAAAAATAAATAAATTTTGCTCCATTTTACCCCTCTAGATATGTGTTTATATTTTTTATACCTAAATATGTGTTTATTTTATTTTTTATTATTTCAAAAATATGTGTGTATAATAATTTATTTTTGCATCAGTTTGCAAAAATCCCTTTTTTCCAAACACAACGTTTGTGATACTTATTAATATATTGATTTTTTTTTTTTTATAAAAAAGAAAAAAAAATAAAAGAAGACTAAATTCATTATTCAGGGGTGTATTTGTCATTCTAATCTCTCCGTTTAATTCTCCTCCATCTCATTTGTATGAGTCTCACCAGACCGACAAAAGGGGAGTTGGATGATCTGGGTTCTGCTTAAATTAAACTGCACACTTCGATGCGCACCTGTTACTACTTAAAACCGAACCACCTACCTCCCCATTGTTCATAGCTGTCCATACATACACACACATTACACACACCAGGGGAGTCTCCTTCTCGCCCGAAATTAGGGTTTATCCGATTGATCGATTGATCCATTTGTTTCTACTTTCTTGACTGATTTCACCTCCCAACGGATCGATGGCGAGAGGAAGGAGCACTCACAGTGCTCGGCTTCAAGGCAAGAGATCGTCGATGGTAGCTCTGGTCCTCGCAATGCTTCTCATGTTAACCATTGTTCTTCTAATGCTTCTCGCTCTCGGAATCCTCTCCCTTCCCATCAGCTCCGACGATTCTCCGCCGATCCATGATCGCATCAACTTCGGCCGTAAGGCCGGTGCACTGTATGCATTGTATCCATCATTTTAGATTCTTCATACTCATCGCACATATATATATATATGGCATATGGATGTATTTGATGATGTGTTCTTCTTTTTGTTGCAGAGATGACAGTGATTCATTGGAGGTGAGACCAGAGCAGTGGACCGAAGTGCTTTCTTGGGAGCCTAGAGCTTTTTTATATCATAATTTCTTGGTGAGTTTTATACGTTTCTTTGCTGAATTTTGAAAATGTGCACACAGTTCAAATTGCCTTTCTTTACTGATTTTTTTTTTTTTTTTTTTTTTTTCCGGATTGTTCAATATACTCACATTTGATCTAGTTTGAATTTACAGCTGTGCATATTGCTAAGGACTGGATAGATATTAAATTAAGGAATTGGAATTTAGGTGTAACTGAAAATACTTCAGATTTTTCTCACTGCAAGAAGAGGTTTTCATTTTTTTTTTTTTTTTTTTTTTTTTCCAGTTAGGCATCCAATGTTTTTATAAAGTACTCTGATTGGTGAGGTAGAATATTTTAAGGGGCAATGTTTTCTTGATTTGCTTGCATGGAGAATCAGTTAGGCATCCAATTTTATTTTTATTTTTATGTTAATAGAGAACAACAAATACTTTTGTATTGAACATTTATAGGAATATATTTCTTACTGTTAACATTTTGCTATAAGTGTTAAATTGTGTGTATATATATATTAATTCTATGGTCTGAAAATGCTGACTCTGGATGATATTTTCAACAGTCCAAGAAAGAATGTGAGTACTTAATGAGTCTTGCCAAACCTCACATGGTGAAGTCAACTGTTGTTGATAGCAAAACCGGTCGGAGTAAAGATAGCAGGTTCGGTTGCCATCCTTCTCACCAGTTCTCTTATTTCATATTCAATCAATTATTTTACCATGCACATTCTTGTTCTTCCTCTTGTTCATCCTATTTCTATTTTAACTATGGTGTTGTATATATATGTATGTATAACTGTATCTAACTTTATCATGTTTGCAGGGTGCGTACAAGCTCTGGAATGTTTTTAAAGAGAGGAAGAGATAAAATCATCAGGGACATAGAAAAAAGGATAGCATACTTTACCTTTATTCCTGTAGGTATGAGAATCAAATAAAATTTATACAAGTTTTGTAATTTCTTCTGGTATTTGTTTCAATGATCACGTGCACAAAAAAAAACCAGAGAAGTAGTTTCCTTTTAAACTATATCAACAGCATCTAAGACAACACCCAGAGAGAACTTTTCTGCAAATTTGAGAAGACAGATTAACACAGTCAGATTAGAAGTATTTTATGCCATCATTAGTTATGCGCCATTTTGTGATTATAAGTGATGTCCTAAAATAAGTGGTTTGGCCCTTGGTTGTCACTTGTCAGTCAGTTTCTGGTTGTAACCAATAAAGACCACTGGGTTTCTGACTCCAAACATTCATTGGTTAAAAATCACACTAATTCAGTTATTGAACTGCATATCATCATGTAATGATAGTTGGAAGCATACTCAACCAGCTCAGGAAGCACATAAATATCTCATTCACAATTTGTCAATCTAAACGAAATATTGGTTACAAAGGGTTATAGTACGTTCTAGAATATACAGGTTGTCGTAACATTTTTGCCATTATCTGTTATAAGGATATCATGTATCATTGTTGTTTATATGTTCCAGAATTTATAGTTGGTGTCTTAACATTTATGCCATTGTCTGTTACAAGATTATCCTGTTGTGGATCCTTGAAGCATCTTGTTGCATTTTAGTATTAGTAGGAGGGGTACACATATAAATGAAGTAATGCAAATACCGGTGGATTTCAAGTAATCTTAGTTTCTTTGATGTTACATTAAGCCATGTTCATTTAAAGGGACTGTATGAAAGACTGGGAGTCGTGACTCATAAAGGCAGTAAAGGCCCTTAATTATGAGCAAGACGAGAGACAAGTTCCCAATATATTTAGTATGTATTATTTTTAGAGAAAACTTTAGAATGTATATTCTTAATTTATATAACAAGTTCCATATGACTTTCTTTGATGCCGTTATGATCAGTCATATAAAATTGTTCCCTCAAATTGAATTTAGTTTTTCTGAGAAGTTACATTATTTATTAAATAGTTTTGTTTCATTTAAATGTTTTCTTTTCCAATTTTGGGCTAAAACGTTAGATCTCAGCATTCTTATAATACATTGTTTAACCATATTTGCATCTTTGATCCTACCCCCACCCAACCCCCGGTTTTCTGTAGTTTTCAGTTTGCATTGAATTACTTGATTTCACAGTTCCCCCTAATTAGGCTAACATTTCTATTTATGGATGCCATTACGATTTACAGAGCATGGAGAAGGACTGCAAGTTCTTCACTATGAGGTTGGACAAAAATACGAGCCACACTATGACTACTTCGCTGATGAGTTCAACACCAAAAATGGGGGCCAACGTATAGCTACTGTTCTCATGTATTTGTAAGAGTTAAAACTTCCGTTCCTCATATATTGGATCCGTGTAGGGCTAAAATTTGTTTCTAAAAATATCTTAAATAGAACCATTTGAATCAATGCTTCAATTTCTACCTTTCATTTGGATATTGATGCAGGTCAGATGTTGAAGAAGGGGGTGAGACCGTCTTTCCTGCTGCTAAAGGCAACATCAGTTCTGTGCCGTGGTGGAATGAGTTGTCTGCATGCGGTAAAAAGGGTCTCTCAGTGAAACCGAAAATGGGTGATGCGTTGCTTTTTTGGAGCATGAGGCCTGATGCCACATTAGATCCATCTAGTTTGCATGGTTAGTTTTCCTTGGATTCTCCCAAACAATTAATAGTGAATGGTCATGAAAAATGGAAGAAAGGGAAGGGTGTATAATATTTTCACGTATTGGTAGCAGGGGAAGGTGAAGAAATGGATAGATGGAAATGACGAATGTCTATATGAGTCCACCATATTCTTTCCTCCCAAAATGGGAGGAATGGATGACAGGAAGGCCTTTTATTTATTTTCCTTTTTTTTCAACATCTTTCTCCTTTGCAAGGCTCTCCCTTTATATGCAAGGGTATGATGGTAAACTCACCAACACCCTTTCCTTCCTTCTTTCCTCTACTTAATTACCAAACAAAAGAGATAGATGGTGTAAAAGTGGTTTCTTAATATTCTAAAAGTAAGCACTAACTTTATTAAAAATGGTCATTATTAAGCCAGAGTCGTATCGTAGGGTGACTCTGATTTTCATGGTTATTTGGGCTTTTCAATTTTGTACTATTGTGGTTATGGAAACGTGTGATCCATATGAAGGAGTGACCTTTGATCATCTGCATTGTAAATGGTTAAAAGCTTAAAATGCTTCAGGCCCATCTCTGCATGCAAGCCACTAGAGTGGTGATAGTTTCATCTGGGCCTACCATATTATTTTCTTCCAAAAGTGGAGGCAAATATCTAAGGGTGTAATGCTAAAAGTATGAATACATCTTTCTTACCTTTCACTTTTTCTTTGTTCTCAATCAAACAAAATGAGGAAAACACCCATTCATTTCCTTGGGGGTACCTTTTCCATCTTTTCTACCTTTTTTTCTTTCAATTTTTCAGCTTTCAGACTGAACACCGATAGGACTCGAGGCTGCACCTTGAATTGGGCTAGCCCAAAATTGGCAAACTCAACCTGGAGTTTTGGCTTGCCTTATCCATTGATTTTTAGATCTGGGTTGCACTTGGTCCTTATTTTTAAGCTCAAAGTTAAGTTTGGTTTATTTATAAATAAAAAAAAAAAGTTAAGTTTGGTTTGGGTTTTAGAAATATGCTGCCCAGTCCAAGCTCAGTCAATGATCCCAAACATTATTTTAGGTAGTGGAAGTATGGTGGAATCAGAAACAAATTAATTACCTCAATAAGGTATTCTAATAGAGAGTGCATTTTGGATTATGTATTCATTTTGTTTCTCCTTTCATCAACATATCACATTGGAAAGAAATAAAACTTTGTTAGCTTTGTAATTCATTGCCAAATGACTTTAAATACATGACCCGTCAGCTTATTTCCGTAATTTGTAAGAAATGTGTTACTGAATGTGTAGTTTGCTGGCCTAAACCTAATCAAATCCAGTGAATGTGGGACAGTCTGGGTTTGGGCTTAGCAAATTGGGTTGAATTTGAGCTGGTCCTAGCCCAAAGTGGCCCAAAGTCAAATTAAACATATTGAGTTGGGTTTGGACTTACCTTAAACCCAACTTCTTTTTCCCTGAATGCCTTAAATCCATCTAGCCTACCTGATTCTCAATCCTGACACTGAAACCTGCCGACAATTTTGCAGTTTGGTATTTTGTTATAAAGGATTGACCTATTTCTGTATTATTGAACTACATATTAATAATTCTGGTGGAATCTTCGCATTATTAGGAGGTGTCTCTTAGTCAATCTAACATTAAATGATCTATGAGTTAAACTAATATCATAGCTTATACCAGGTGGTTGTCCTGTGATTCAAGGGAACAAGTGGTCGTCTACTAAGTGGATGCATGTTGATGAATATAAGCTCTAAGCCGTTTTTTTCAAGGTATCTATCTCTTTTAACGTTTTTTGTGGCTACTGATAATGTGTGAAGTCATCATTTGCAGTTCTCTACAACTTCCATTTCTTATTGTAGTCACTACACTTTTGGTGGTTTTTTGTTTTAAACAAATACCTCAAAATAATAATAATAATAAAAAGGTTGAGGGAGCTCGCAGAAGGAGCTGTAACTAAGATTCTCCAGTAATGTTTTGTGAGAGTGAATATTTTTGAGTTTCCAGCTAACATAAGTTGCATATAGATGTGTGTCTAGATGCATTAATACAATTTTATTTATTTATTTATTTATTTAAAAGGAAGATATAATAGATTGTTGACATACAGTTACTAATTGATATTTCCTGACCCTCCTCCCTACCTCCACATTCTTTGCATTATATCTCATAATTTCATTTATCTCTACCAAATATAATTTACATGTACAACCTCCAAAATTGTTTTCTTTCAAATAAAGTTCTTTGTGTAAGTAATCATTGGATTTTTTAGCTATTGCTCATCTAAGTGGCATTGTTGCTTGAAAATGGCTTGCACATGCTAATGAGGCAACATTGAAATCAATTAAAGACCAATTTTGAAATGACAACTAAGTTCTTGAACTGATGATGTCAACTTATGTTATTCACTTTAATCAGTTTGAATTATGAGTGCTGTGAATTCTCCGACTCCACCACCCCAACGCCACCATTGTCTGCGTTATTTATTTTAACTTCATTTTTCTCTACCAAAGATAATATACATGTACAACCACCAAAATTGTTTTCTTTCTGATAAAGTTCCTTGTATTTCTCAGCCATTGCTCATCTAAGTGGCATTGTTGCTTGGATGATGCCTCGCACATGCTAATGAGGATCCACCGTTCTTGCAGACCATAAGCAATGTTGTAATTGATTAAAGATCTATCTTAACATAGACTGCAAAAAAAATTTGAGCATTACGCATATTGATGGTGATAAAGTTGGTTTTATAGAATACATGGAGTCCCCTCATATTTAATCAGTTATACTTTTTTTATTTAAAAGAACTCTGTTCACCTAGATTTTGTCCCACTTACGGTTGGTGCTGAGTGGTATGTCAAAGGGGGAAGTTAAAAAATTTTGATGTCAAATGAAACACGAACACTACTGGTTCATAGTGTTGACTACCATCTACTTTAAAAGCTCAAGCAGTTAGAGAGAGTGTAACTTTTAATATTTAAATCCTTCAGCACGCCCCCTCACGTGTGGCCTTTTTTTGGTCCAACGCGTGTTTTTCAATTTTTAATTGGGGTGACGGTAAAGTTTGAACTCGAAACCTTTGGCTCTCATACCATATTAATTACCATCTACTCTAAAAGCTTAGAAAATCATATATAAAGGTACGTCAAACAGAAACTAATATTTTAAATTCACACACACTGTCAGTTAGCTAATATATCAAATCTAGGTGTTACGGAGTTCTTTTAAATAAAATAAGCAGTATTAACTGATTAAATAAGAGGGGCCTCCATGTATTCTATAAAACCAACTTTATCACTGCCTTGAAATAACATTTTACGTCATCCGTCTCTCTAATATTTGCTGAAGAATAGTTCTTTTTCAATTAGCATCATGAATATTTATATTGCTACTATATTTTCTGTCTTGCAATTTTTCATATTTATTGGAATTGCATTTTAAAAATATTCTTCTGGCAGGGTACATAAACATTTGTGTGGTGACGGTTTTAGAAATCCTAGCTGATGGTGCTTTCCTCATAGCTACCACATAAAACTTTACGACTCAGGTGCCTCGATGCTTGTAAATTTCAATGAGCTTCTGTGTCTTTCAAACGGTGCTCAGGTCAGGACTTGTTTCGTTCTTTAAAATCTGAAGAATAAGTCTAGTTTCTTGCCCGGTGAGAATATATTCTTCATTTTAATCATAGATTTAATAGAGATTAGAAGATGAGGAGTAAGTAGTCATTGACAGCTAATTGTAACTTTAAGGTATGTGAAATACTAGCTATGATGATCTTTATAGGTTTGTTTAGTCCCATTTCTTTGATAGTTTATGAAGAATGTTCTGTGGTTTTATAAACCAGCGCGTCACTGTTTTAGTAATGATGCTGGACATTCTTGAAGTCTAGCACTCTAAAACATGTTTGAGGCACTCCATTTACTCATGGTATATCTCAAGAATTAGAATGTAGCAAGTGTTTCTTTGAAGTGCCAATACCATTTTCCGTGTATGTGTTCAACTTTTTCCTACATTAGTTTTGCACCGGACTTTGGAATCTCTGTTCAGCTGGAAATGTGTGCCACCACCTGCCTAGATCAAGCGCTGTATGAGAAGGTAAGAAGTGCCACTACAATACTTAAAACTACTGGTAACATCGTGCACCATGTAATCCACACTAGGGGTAACATGCATAATAATTTAGAACAAATATTTTTTTTTTAATGGCTAAGATGGCTGTTTATAGATACGGTTTTAGCTACGTTCGGTTATTTTGGGACCTTGAACAGAGGAAAGTCAGGATGACTGCCTCCAATCCAACTCTCCTTGAGCTTGATGCAGATTGAACCAAAATTATCTCACCAGAGCCATGGAGGTGAATCACTCTGGAAGTATTTCAACAATTGACAGAATTTGAAATTTGGTATATTCGTTTGCTATCAAAGAACTGCTAGATAAAAGTGGTTTAAATTCAGATCACTGAATTCCTGTTCGACATATCAGCACAACGTAACACCTTTTTGTCGAACTAAGCAATAAGCTTGGCATGGAATTCCAAATTAGGCTTTGTCTTCTCCAGGTGGTGAGATGGCAAAGGCTCCATGAACACAAATGGAAAAATGTGATTGGCATTTTGTTCCTGTTACCTTGAATAACAATGGATCCACGAGATCAAATTCTTAAACATCTGTTTGGTGCTGTGAATTTTCATTCGTGACAGAATCCACAGGCATACTACAAGTGTTGTCATCCATCTGGCCCGGTGGGTGGCAACCGTTCTTGTGGCATTGATCACTCTAAATTTATCATGATCAAATCCAAATTTATCATAACTATCACAAGAGTAATGATACAAAAATCGAATCAGTTTTTGTGGTAATAACAATGATTGTTATTTGAGTGTTTTAGCTACATAGCTGGCACACGTCATCCGCAATTATATGATTTTCCCCGTCACAAACCTCAACATTAGCCATGAGAAGCATCAAATTATAATAATACTACGTATATCTCTAGTTGCAATTATTATTATTATTATTGGGGAAATGAACAAAGGTACCAGTGAATTTCGTCCCCCCGTCTAAAAACATGAATCAAATGATAGATGTACGCCTAGCAAACAACCGCAATGTTGCTTTTACACTACTACTCTCCAAACAAAACCAAATCAGTTTTACAATTATGCGTCCCAATCAAAAAATGGTGTACTTACCTCGTCACCTGTGTTGTCTTGAGTGTATCCAGTAGGAGCGAAACCTCAATCACAACATTGGACTACCAAAAATCAGCCACAATACCGGAGTGCAATTCACCACCCCAGAAGGAAGGGCAATGTGCACAACAAATAGCAGATTAACATGGCATACTCTATTGAAATTTGCAATTATTTTACCCCTCCTTCAGTCCATGTGGATAGAGACGACACCATGCAAATGGGTTCTTACTTCTTCGGTGAAGATATTTTACCCCTCCTTCAGTCCATGTGGATAGAGACGACACCATGCAAATGGGTTCTTACTTCTTCGGTGAAGATGAAAAGAGCCAATCCAATCCATGACAATAGACACATCTCTTTCTGATTGTTAGGCTGAGAATCCATTATAAAGATGGTTAATATGATCGGAACCACTAAATTAGTTCCTGGGTGAGGTCTCAAAAAGATTTGCCTAATGGACCTGCACAAAGGCCACATCAATGTCATATTTAAGTTATATCATTATTTACAAGGACCATATAAAGAATTAGATAAGTCCTAGAGGTAATCACCTTTTCTGTCCTGATTTCACGAAGCCCACTCAAAATCTCAGCAAAATCTACGGGTGGCAGGCAAGAAAAGTGCATGTTCTCCCCAGTACATGGATGCCTAAACCTACGAAACAAGGGATATAATCATCATGTACCAACAATGGTACTTGTTGAACCTAAACTGAAATATTAACACATATAGCAGGATACGAGATTCACAGAGAAGTAATAATTGAAGCTTTATCTTCTACCCGAGAGCCAAAGCATGGAGGCTGGGTCTCTCTAATCTAGAAACCAGTTGCGTAAGTTGGCTGTGGAAGTTGGTCGGAGTCCTAGTCCGAAGCAGTGACATGGCCATGGACTTAGTCCCTCCATACACTTCATCTCCCAATAGAGGAATTCCAAGGTACTTCGCATGTGCACGAATCTACATCAAAATAGCAATCCAAGACATGTAATAGAAAGTTTTGATAGGTTGTGAAATGCTTGCAGAGATTAGTAGTATTGTGATGCAAAACATTGCAGGAAGCAGCTACTTGTCGTATATGGTGTACCTGGTCCAGCAGAGTTCACAGGCTATGCATGCCATCGGAAATAAAATAAACCATAATCAAACAATGCGGAAAGCTACCCTCAATTTTTTAAGACTACCCTTCCCATGTCTCCATTTAAGAAATAAACCTCCTACTGCTATTGGTTTGTTTCAGCTCCCAATGGGAGATGATGCATTAAGATCTAGGAAGCACGGATATGGATACGGGACACTGGTACGACATTATATAGACACAGCAATACGAAAAATCTCAAAAAGGTAGTACACGGTTATGGCATGGATACGTCAAAAAATAATAATGTAATATATTATTATATATATATAAATAATATTTTTTGCCATTTTATCCACGTAATCATGATTAAAATCACTAATTTGAAATTTAGATTTAGATGCTTGTTTTTTTTTTTTTTCCTTAAATTTTATATTATTATTCTAATTAACCCAAAATATATTTTAAATTGCATTAAATCACATTTGTCCAAAAAAATAATAATTACAAAACCACCCCGCCATATCCTGAAAGTGGTCCAAAACGTATCCTTGCCGTGTTGAACCAGAAATAAAATATTCATTTTTCAAAATGTATTCTAGTCATATCCGACTCATGTCCGAGCCGTATCTACGTATGCGAAAGTGTCTGATACCGCCACAGCACTGTAAGAAAAGTATTTGTGCTTCCAATATTAGATTAGGGGTGGCAATATACATTACATTGCGTCTACCCACCCCTTGGTGACCTGCCCCAACGAGACAAATATGGGGAGGACTTAAAATGGGGCACCAGAGCTTTGGGTAGAGGCACACTGACCTAGCTTCAAGGCAAGGACAGGGTTAGCATGATATAAGCCTGATACAACAATAGGGTGGGTCTGAGAGGAAACAGTTTTGGAGCATTCATTTGGGATCTGTAAAGAACAAACATTCGATGCCCATCGAGGGTACCATACCCACACATTTCCAACCCTAATTAGGATGGGAAGTTTCTTCCATATAAGGAAAGCCTATTTTTAATGATTTAGTCAAAAGAAGTCAGTGTGTAACTAAAAGATGTCCTACTGAAGGTAAAAGAAACTATTTCTGGTGCATTATACATGCAGTAAAAGGTTACAGACATAATGCCACTTATTCCGTGGATGCAGTCATTCAAAACCATTAAAGATCATAATGAAGCATCTACTATAGGGAATACAGCACCTGATGTGTGCGCCCAGTTTCTAGTCTCCACTCAACCAATGCAGAACCACCACCAGCAAGTATTTCTCTTACTCTGTACCTGATGAAAATTCAACGCATTGGACATGGATCACAACCAGAAAAACATAAGAACTTCATTATCGATTAAGAGCTTATGCATTCATTTACAACAGATAGTAATGAAAAAACAGAAAAAACCAGGATATACATGTAAGCTCTTCAACATGTGATCTTTAGGACCCTCATGGAGGCTACTTTCAATTATGAGATATAGCATCGCAAGAATATTAGATCCGTCAATAAAATTTATTGTAGAAATGATGAGTTTTTAATGCAACACACTGCACAGGTGAAAACTACTTCCATTCATACAATCAAATGTATATGGTATTATACATATTTAATTTGAGAGAACAAATTAGGGTTTCAAGTTCTCTCTCAGCATAAAGATTTACAACAAAGCAAACATGAATTAAACTTTGTTATTCAGCATAAAGAAAGTTCAAAATTCCAGTAATGTTTTACCACAACAAGAGTCCAATTTTCAATGATTTTCCCGGTGCCAACTATAGTACAAAGTTTCACTATTTTAAGCATAAAAAGTTCAATTCTGAACAAATAGACAATTTTTATAAGCTCTCAAAACCAGCAAAGTGGCTTCTAAATGCCATGTTACTCAACTATCTAGTATCAACTGTTATAAGTGATACAGGATCATCAAACCAGCAGTATCCTACTCCTTCCATACTGTAATCCATAGTCTTAGCTGCAAGAAACCCTGTGATCATATGCTTAATGATATTTTAAAGAGAAACTCAACCAAACTTTGGGTTTCTTTGCTGATTTAGTGATATTGAAATAGTATCAATGCAAATAAATAAATAAAACAAAAAAATAAAAATAATCACCATTCTCTATCTATTGTTCCTTGGGGTTTTGCATCGATAATCCGCATCTAGTGTTTTGCATATATATGCTATACCCTCACTGTGCATTTTTTGTATTTATGCCTTTTTCTCTTATACTCCAAGATTTATAATTCCAATACCAAGTTTGATCAGAACCAATTTTACTCATTTTTCAAATTTCTTCCAATTTTACCATGAAAGGAAATGACCTACACAGAAACTAAAATGAGGATATCTTAATAACAAAGGATATTTTCTGGGCAATTGGGTGTGAACCCCACCTTAAACTCCTCTTTAATCAGTAAACATAAATATAATAAAGGAGAACCTTAAATCACCTACTAGCAGCATGACGGGCTTGTCCACGGGTATTAGATCCAGGAACAGCAACCATGCGGATCCGATTGTTCAAGTCACGACCTATTGGAATGTCAATACGTCCTGAAAGTGGTGAGGGCAATCCACACGTAAGACTGATGTATACTCTCTGGATAGTGTGTTTCTTGAATTGTTCAGATAAATGAGAGTGAGAATGCTCATCCTGCAATCAGTGCGGAAAGGAGATAAATTTGATGAGATTGTATTTTAGCCAAATGGCAAATCAAAGTGCAAATACATGAAGTGCAACTTGGACTTAATCTACTCATTTCTGGAGATTCGGAGAAAGAAAAAATCACCTTTGCAACAACAAGCAATCCACTGGTACCTTTGTCTAATCTATGCACAATTCCAGGCCGTATAGATGCCTCGCAAATGCCAAAACCAATACCTTCATTATGAATTTGTTCAGGAGAAAAGCTACTAAACTCGTCATCAGAAATCTCCTCTTCCTCACAAAGTACTTCCTGGTTAGGTAATGCAACCATGGGAAGACTGCAATGGTGCAGAATGCCATTTACGAGAGTTCCAGTAGCATTGCCCGGTGCTGGATGAACAACCTAGATCATAAGAAACCATTTTCAAAGTTAGCCAAAGGTTAGAGTGTTAATTGCAAGCAAAGAACAGCCACAGTTCAATATATATTGCAATTTACTATTGTTGTGTCTAATGTGAGAATAACCCAGTGGCACAAAATTATTAAGTCCCAAGTCCAGGGTTAGCTTCCCATAGAACTTGACTCAGTAACTATGTTTTTAACTGTAAATTTTAATGTTTAAGTTGCAGTTACTAGAAAAGATGCTTCAATCAGTAACAAAATCTTGTAATTCTAAAACAATTACTGAAACCGTCCAATTCAATAAGACTGCGTAAGGAGAACCGAACTTCACGCACAACCTTATTCTGTATTTTTACAGGTGGCATAGCCAGACTTATCATAAGAGACTAACACTAGGGAAGCAAATATATTAGATCAAAAGATGTTACATTGAAGATAACACCATTTATGCGTGGTCCAGTCAACAAATCCACCAAACCTAGTATCACCGGCTCTATGTATGGCTGTATGTGTGAACAAGCACATGCATGCATTCAGTGTGTGTCAAATTTGTGACAAATACCTAATACTAAGGGTAAAATACAAGAAAAAATTCATGTTTGCCTCATATGACATACGAATATTATATTTTGACCGATATGTCTTTTTTGTGGATTAAATTACTTTTGGATAAAAATATATGGACTCAAACACGGAGAATTTTGTCAAATTATTTCAACCGTACATCCTGTGGTTTTAACTTAATTTTGGACAATTTTTAAAAAATCATTTTCTTAACTCAAAACTTTCATTTCTACATAAGGGCAGTTGTGTTATTCATTACTATGCTCACAGCTAAATGATGGAAATGGGGTGATTTGCAAATTTTTAATAATTTACAGGGATTTTTTGAAGTTCAGGCATGTTATTTGCAAATGCGATATATATCACACACAATGATAATAGAACAACATCAAACTCAAATTAAATATGGAAGTAGACCCTTACCATGTGCGCAGGCTTATTAACAACTAGCACATGCTCATCTTCGAAAACAATATTCAAAGGTATATCTTCTGGTTCAGCCCTTAAGGGTTGCAACTCGGATATTGTGCAATTAACCTTATCTCCATCTCTGACCATGTAAGCAACCTGCACAGCCATATAAATCATATTTAGAATAGCCCAAACCCACAGGCTTATCTATGGCAGGAAGAACAAGCACCAAAAAATACCTAGAAAAACATGTACCACAAAAGAAAAGTACGTTTTAGGCAGGTAAAAAAGCATAATCTCAAAATTATTAGTTATGACTCTCATTGTTTTGATGGAGAACATCTCCTAAGAAAAATTTTGCCAAGAGCATTCGTTTTCTCAAGACCCCATTTATCTTGATGGACATTTTGTGATCAAGCCTGAGATAGTTCCTCTTTTAATTAGCTTCAGTTAAAGCATCACTTTAAACATAAAATCCTTTCTTTTTTTTTCATTGTTAGAAACAAAATTTCCTGAAACACTTCTCACATAGAGTCTAAATCAGAGCTCCAATTGTCAAAATAGTATTGATCAAAGCAAAACCACGCTCTGCTGGGTGCCATTAATGATAATATTCTCAAAGCTCCCAAGAATCAAAAGATTGATCAAAGCAATATCAGATATGGAGTGTCCAGGTTGCTCTTCTGTTTACATACATTAGATTATTATATGTACAATTGCCAGCTTTCACCTTAAAGATAGAGTGAACTCTAATGTAATTTTATTTGCTAAAGAACCAGGGGAACAAAAATAGTAATTAACTTTATACTTAATTTACTTTCATTTCATGTAAAAATCAAAATTATTTAAGCAATTTAGTTTCTTTTGATGCAATTTGCTAAAGTTAATACTTGTTTTCCTGAAACTTTTACGACAAAGAAAGATGAAAATGTCAATATTCTTAGCCTAATTTTCTCGGCCAACAAACAGAGACACATTTCCGGATTTAAGTGAAATTCTTCACGATTGAAATTTAAACAAAGCCAAATATAAATATATATTCAATCAATCAGCGATATGAAATGAAAGTTACCTTATCGATAACACGGCCATTAACACTGACCAGTCCTGATCGAATGCTCGACTGCACGCGAGCTCTGCTTATGCCATTTATGCGAGAAGAAATCCATGAATCGAGCCTGAGCTTCCCAGATTTGGTGTCTACGTTCTCCTCCAACCGGACTCCTGCGTAACTGGTTCGCTGGACGGAAGGAACTTCTTGAGCTTTACAAGAACGGATGATTCCCGGAACCCTAGAGAAACTTCTAGGGTTTCGACGGAAGAAGCAGAGAGACGAGGAGCAGTTTAGGGCTTTTATGGAGATAACGGAAGTGCAAGAGTGGAGTGAGAGCATCTCATTCGTTCTCAGTTTTGTGGATTTTGATAGAGACCTGTTTTGAAACTGCATTTGGTTAGTTTTGGGTGGTGTCCATTGCTTGGCACTCAAAACAGAACTCTCAGGCTCAGTTTGGTGGAGTGGGTTTGAAAGGAAAAGGAAGGGAAGGTGACGGAGGGTTATAAAAAAATTGTGTTTGGGTTAGGTGAGTGGAGGAAAAGGGAAGGAGAGGGAAGGGTTTGGAGGGGTTCTTCATAATAATGTACAGTAATTTCTTTAACTTTTCAAAAAATGGGAGGATAAGGAAGGAAAGGAAAGGCAATAACTCATATAATATTTGTCATGTCACTTTTACTCTCAAAATTGCACTTGATATTGGGCATGTATTCAGCGTGGGAAGCTTGCAAATGGCGGACGACGAACCTGAACTGGAACAGCGCAGGAAACTGAAAGATGTGGGTTTTGATTTTTTGAGGCGAACGGCGAACCCAAACTGGAATAGCGATGGAAACTGAAAGGAAAAAAAAACACACACTTGATCTTTATTTCAGTAGCTAAAATTGGTTCCCAAAATAAATTTTTTTGAAATGAGCCGCCTCCCATTTTTGGGAGCCTGCTCTATTCATATTGGAGTCTCCTCTACTTAAAGTAGAGCCTGCTCCATTCATATTGGAGCCTCCTCCACTTTTACTTGAGTCGGCTCCTCTTGGGACAAAAATGTTGTTGCATATTTAAATCTCAAAATTCATCTTTTAAAATACAAAAAGGGCATAGTAGTAAATTTATTATTATCCTTCCTTTTCCTTTATTTTCCCAAACATGATTGTTATCATTCCTTTTTTTTTCCTTCATTAATTAACCAAACACGATTGAGGATTAAACTTATCCTTCCCTTCCCTTCCCTTTTCCTCATAACTAATGTTATCCTCTCCCTTCAAGCCCATTCTACCACATATAGCCTCAGTATCAGGCCATGTAGACTTTCTATTACTATTATTATTCTATTATTTATTTACAAAAAAATAATAATAAATAAATAAATTCACAATATTTTTGAAAGATTTAAACCTGCTTTTCAGTTTAAATTTAAGAGTAGTTAATTTAATGATCCAACTGTTGGCAAATCTGGAAGGCTAGCAATGATTGGCATTTCAATTCCACTCGCTGTAATCCCAAAGCTATTCTGGACCGAACCATACTTTAATGAATTCTCTAATATCTCCACCTTGGACACTCGCCTCCATGCTCATCTCCGCCCTTCCTCTCCTCCTCAATGGATTCCTCCTACTGAAGGATTTTTTAAGCTTAACGTTGTGCCTTAAAGGATTTTTTTTTTTTTTTTTTTTTTTTTTCTTCATAAAGCAACAAGAAAGGAAACTAAGGAACAGTGATGTTCAAGACCCCAAGGAGTTGTAACTCCATTGCCCACTCTATCTGCAAATGGGCTCTCAATTCCTGCAGCAGTGATGTTCACTGTCCTGTGTGGCCTTCTTGGTTTATTTAAGCTCTTGAGGCTGAAGCTTCTTTATTTTCTGTTCCTTAGTTTCTTTTCTTGTTGCTTTATGAAAATATATATATATATATTCTTTTCTTGTTGCTTTATGAAAATATATATATATAAACTCTTGAATTCAATTTATGTAGGAGGATAGTAGATCCCATCACATGATACATCAATTAAATTCAATAATCTTATTATTTTAAATTTAAATATCACTAAATCTTATAAAAATAACACTATAATAGTAGTTCATTTAGCTCATTACACCACTGTTTTACTTTCCACTTCTTTTTCTTCCTAAAACACATAAAACACCAATCAGTTTGGTTGGAGGGTGATGGAAGGAAAAGAAAGGAAATGTAATAAAAGGTAATAAAATATTATGTTTGGCTACGCATCATTGAAGGAAAATAAAGGAAATAGAGGAATTTAAAACAATTTAGGCATCTTCACTTGTTTTGTTATTCTTTCAAAAGTTGGAGGAAATGAAAGAAAAGGGAAAGAAAAATAATAATTTTTAATAAAATTTTATTAATACCAATTTTACCTTTATTTTTATAGAAGACAAAATCAATAAAAACCAGTATAATAGTAAATTCATTAAAATAGTTTCATTTCTCTTTTTTTTTTTTTTTTTCATGCTTTTTTTTTTTTTTTCATGCTTGTTGAGAAGGATTGTGTGACATATTTTTGGACCATTTAAACCCTGTGATGAGATTCAATAATTCTCCTTAATTCAACCCATAAGCATCAGGGCAAGAATCCATTAAGATAATTTTCAAAGTTTAACTACGTGCATAGAATCCAATTCCATATACATAAGCAACTAATTTTTTCTTAAAAGGGAAGACACAATCCCTTGTACTTAGGTTAACAGATAAAACCCCGTTGATTTAGCTTCAAGAAGAAAACAAACCAGTAGGCTTAATTAACAACAACATCAATCACCTATCACCAGTTTGACTATGATCCTTGGACCTCACACACTTGGGGTGCACCTCGTACCCACACTCCATGCACTGGTACGCCCAACCGGACCCTTGTTCATCACAATCACAACATATAAAGGGGCCTCCACCCGTGCCTTCGGATACCAATGTGAGCTCATGGTGGTGCCCGGCATGGTACTCCAATAGGGGGAGGTTCTTAGCCTCTTCATCCATTTGCTTCACTAGTGCCTCCACTCTGGCCTCAGTGAAAGGGTATGCATTTTCTTTATACAAGTTTACGAGGTTCCTCCCTTGCTTGGTTATGGTTTTGCCATCCCCGCCCAAAATTACCAAACTTGGGATTCCTTGAATGTTGAAGTACTTGGTGAGGTTTTTGATGGTTGGGTCACCAAAAGGCAATGCCAGCCATGGCATGGCACTGAAGTACGTGTCGAATGCCATTTGGTCACGATCACTTGACACGAACACTATTTCGAAGTCCTCATCACCTTGACCCTTTTCCAGCGTTTGCTTAATCTTATGATAGATGGAGATAAGTTTAGGAGTGAACTTCATTCCTGGAAGGCACCACTGAGCTGAGAAGTAGAGTCCAACGGTTTTGCCCATTAACGAAGCAACTGGTACCTGCACTACAGAGACATCCGTTTAGTCAATCAAGAAAAATGCATTTTTTTCCGACCATCCCAACATTGTGGTCATCATATACTCAATTTTAGCTATACTAATATCATCATAGAGATTCTTGGGACTTTATCAAAATATAGAAAATCCACAATGAACTTGTACTATTGAAAATTTATTGCTTGGTGACTAGTATGTCATGAACCCTTAATTATAACATATTTTCATGCCAGAAATGGGGCATCTTCAATAAAGCTTCATGGTCACGCATGCAAGAAAATGGAATTTTAGACCCCATTGAGTACCTTCCCTACCTTGTACAGAGTTGATCACAGGTGGCCGTTCATTCAAGAAAATAAAATTTCCATGGCTCTTTCAAGAAAAACAAGTTTCATTGGCTATTAGAAGAGCGAATTCTAAATTTTATAGCAATAAACAAAAGTTTTGAGTTGGTAAACCAACAAGTCTTGGATGAAGCCAGTCTATAATGAGTCCAATAGTACTTTAATATGTGCAGGCAAGAAGTGTCTAGAGAATTGACTGATCAACGGCGATGCAAAGCTCTTAAAGATTTTGGTAGAATTTGATAGATCGGAAGCAGAGATAGGGTTGGTAAGGAGTTGATAAGGAATGAATGGATGAGAAATCTTTTTCTTCTTTCTGGTAACCAGTGTCATGAACATCACAAGCTAGACCTGTTCTTTTAATTTAAGGTCTTGAGAAAGCTAGAGTAAAATTGAGCCAATTTGTCCTCCAGTTTCTCATGAAATTAATTAGTACTGTAATTTTCACTAATGATTACAGATTGACTCAAATTAGAGTTAATTTAAGACCCAAGTCAAGTAGAAGCTAAGTGATACAGAAACTGACCTGCTTAGGTGTGGGATGACTCAAGAGGAAGTCTCTATCATGGTTTGTTAGCAAACTGATTACGGTCTGCTTTTCATGCTTTTCCCTCTCTTCCTTCTGCAATTCCTCCAACTTCTCCTTAGTAAATGGAAATGCTTGTACCCCATACCGGTAAATGAGTTCAACTCCATCATATAATGTTGAATCGTCTTTGGTCCAGTTCGGTTGGAGGATGATTAAGCAAGGAATGCCTTCGATATCAAACCTTCGGTTCAATGCTTTCTTCGTCTCCAAATCAGAAAATGGAATTGCAAGCCATGGCATGACTGAGCGATACTTGTTAAAAGCATCCAAGTCTTCATCAGACGAGACAAAGACAATCTCAAAACCCAAACCCAATCCACAGCTTTTAAGCTGCTCGTAAGCATCAACTAAAACTTGGTTGAAGTTTTGACATGGTTGATACCAGTTGGCTGAGAAGTAAAGGCCAATAACTTTTCCTTCAAGGTCAGAAATTTTAACCTGCAACAAATCGCATTACTCACCCATAAGTGACACAAGTCTCGGAACATTACATCAAAAATGAGATAAAACCATTTTCTTTCAAAAATTACTCATCATTAGTACCTTTTATTATTATTATTACTCTTTCAATGAGTGTCCAATTGCATCATAGTCATTTTCCTGTTCAATTTATAAGCAATTAAGGTCATGTAAAAATACCACGGTACAGGTACTAAGATTGATTCTCAAAAAGATTATGCTAAAAACAACATAAACACAAAATTACTAGCGCCACCAATCTTCTCCGAGTTTTACGCAATCTATATCTTTCTAGAATACTCAGGAGATTTGTAACTTTCTAGAACACCCTTTAACAGATTATAGCAGATTATAGACGATTAATGTTCTACGACTAAGCAATTAAGGTCATGTAAGAACTTCTCCGAGTCTTGCTCAATGCTTATCGTTCTAGAATAATCTTAACAATTTTTAGGAGATTTGTAACTTTCTTCAATACTCTAGCAGATTTTAGGAGATTTAAATTCCATTTCTATTTGGATAGCTATGGGATATATATATACATATATATATATATAGGCATCTTTTGTACAAAATGATTTCTTAAATAGGGGTAAAAATAAAAATTAATGGGAAAGTGACATATTACTCATTGGTTTGGTTGTGCAGATAAAAGTAAGACATAAGAATAGAGACAGCCACAAGTTTGTCTTGTTTTCCTCGTGACAATTAAAGTGTGTGATGGATAAAATGTTCAACACTGCAAAAAGAGAAGGAAATAGAAATGGAGGGAAAAAAAATCTGGAAACTTTCCTCCAACACAATCATTTGTTTCGAATAAAAATTTCTAGTTTTTAAAGGTGGTTTCGATATGTGTACCATTTTTAGGATGTCTTGACTCAAAAGATAATGTAACTTTGATGTTGAGATAATAGGTAAAATGGGATTCAAATAAGCCCCGGAATGTTGAGGTTGAGACACCCAAAATCTGGAAAACAATTAGCTTAATTAGCCAATCTAAATATACAAGAAAATAATTATAAAACAAGATTTACAGAATCCCCACCTCAAAGAAGATATCATCCTGAAAGTTTAATAGACTGACCTTAAAAAAGTAATTTCATTATCTCAATTAAATCATACTGGATGTCATAAAATTGAACAATGATTTGGAGTCCGACAAATCCGATTGATTTACGTCAATAAGGGTGACATCATCATTATGTCATTAATATCCGTGATTAATATCCGTGATGTCATGACGACGGAAATACATAAAATTAATCGAATGGGTAGAGGTGTAGGAATCTCTATCATTACTTCATAAAATTACAGCTATACTAATTAAATACATAATGCGTAAAAAAACATTAGGTCCCAACAATGTGGTTATACGGTTTAAATGTATTCCAAGTTCCAACCAACCTTAATAAACAGTAAAAAAATTTTAATCTCTTGTCAAAAAAGTTTTGGATTATTATTTTGAGAAGCTAGCTAGTACTAAGAGCTGTAGCCATCTTCTGCTATTGTACTGATCAGTACTCAATACTCATCTTTTAAAGCTCATCAAGTAGCTAGATCAAACAAACCCATATACAGCAAAACTATATATATATATACCAAACAAATTAACAACCAGCTTGTTTCTGACCATCTTCAGAATATATGTGAGTGTGTGTGTGTGTGATTTGGCACCAGTTAGTCTTAGATCTCATCTATGATAGCAGTAATAAAATAAAAAAAGAAAAAAGAAAAAGAGAACTAGATTACGAGGTTATGGTGACAACTTACAAATCATTTTAGTGTAGGACAAGCCAATAATCAACATATTATACTTATTTTAGGGAGAAAACAACTGGAAATCATAATAAATTAGTTTATAAATTATACCCAATCTTTTTCGAGTATGGATCTTATATAGTTAATTTTTGTAGTATGTGTATATGATAATCCAAAAATCAAAGATGTAGGACTGAAATAGTAGCTAGCTAGCGAGAGAGAGTAAAAACAAAATCAACAAAATAAGAATAAGGGAGATCATTAACTACTTAAGATTAATATTAAGTGGTATTATATTTAATTAGACTTGAGTGCATGTTTTTAACAACTAATTTTTATATAGGAGTATTCAAAAAAAATTGGAAGTTTATATACATTCATTCATATTTCAAGTTTTCAACCAAAATAAACAGCTGATGAAGACTAAACCTGGTTTTAGCTCGTTAATTGTTGACAACTTTTAAAGAGAGAGAGAGAGAGAGAGAGGAGAGAGAGTACCTGAGTTCCAGTCTGAGAGAGAAGAAAATCACGATCATTGGAAGTCAATAGAGACAAATATGTGGAGCAAGAGACCACCTCGTGAGATTCAACTTCCTTCACAACCTCGAATTCATCTTCCTTGTTCTTGTCGTTCTTCACCTCGCTCCTCATCTCTCTCTCTCTCTATATCTCTCTCTCCTCTCTCTCTCTCTCTCTATATCTCTCTCTCAGCACATAAACACGCACTATATGATCATTCCTTTCCACAGAACCATATTCTTTTCCACATCATTGCATACCCAATGCCAACTTTTTTCTTTTTTCTTTTTTTTTTTTTGTGAAGGTGATAGATACTGTGCGAATTAACTTCGTACATTCATAATAATTACTTGTACACGTAGCAAATTGGCAATCAATGCCCTCCTCCTCTACTTGAAATTATAAGCTACTTCTAACGATGATGGTCCTCTATGCCCCCCACCAACGGATCTGACTCAGAATTTGACAATTACGCTCACATTTATTTTCACTCAAAATTTTCTAGCTTTTTTATTATTTAATTCCAATGCATACGTATTTAAAATATTTTGACTATTTATCTTAATTAAAAGCTCTCCATTTTCTATTTTATCAAGGAAAATAATAAATTTTCATTGATGGAATATCAAGTAACAAAATACTCGAGATATTATATATTTTCTCATATATATATACACACACATATGAAGTTCAAAATTATAAAACTGAATTGAACTAAAAGAATAAAGTTCAAAATTATAGAACTGAATTAATCGAACTAAAAGTATAAAGTTCAAAATTATAGAACTGAATTGAACTAAAAGGTGATTTCATTAATTTAAAGACAAAGTGAATATCCTAATGTTTACATTTTGGACAATTAACACATATTATTCATGTTGTATATATTAACTCCGTAAAGTTTAAAAAATGAGCAAAGTTCATTAAAAATTTAGTCATGTGCATTTAGAGACGGATCTAGAAATTCATAAAAATAGGGGCAAATTTATATAAAGGGATTTTTTTCATAATTTCAATGGGGCCAATTTAATAAATTATGGGGTATAAATAGGGATGGCAATAAGGCAAGGTGGAAAGGGGATCTCATTCCTCATTTCTATCCCCGGTCAAATTTTTTCCTCCCATCCCTTCTCCCATACCCGTTTAATTTTCAACCACATCCCCCATCCCCACCCCGCCCTGCCACATTAGCCCCCATCCCCGCCCCGCCCCGCATAACATTTTTTAAATTCCAATTCACCTTCAACAAAATCAACACAACCATAATATTTTTCAACCTAATAATTAAATAAAGATTCAGCACAATTATAACAATTTAAAACATGATAAGATGTTTGATGCACAACGACTATATTTTTTTTTTTTTTTTTTTATGCTGCAAGGGAATAGATCTAAGGTTTCACTTTTAGAAGTGAATATATTATACATATAGTTATGTAATTTAATAATATTTTATAACATATAAGGGTAATTTTGTAAAAATGCACTATAAACGGGGTGGGGCAGGGTTACCCTCCCCTTGCCCCATCCCCTGCCAGGGTTTCAAATACAATCCCCATCCTCTCCCTATTTATATAAATGGGTCCCCAAACTCGCCATAAACAAGGCAAGCGAAAACTCGTCGGGTATGGGGATTTTGCCATCCCTAGATATAAATGTAAAAAAGTATAAATTTAGGGTGTGAAATGAAATAACAAACCCACTAAGCCCACAGTAGATCTGTGCCATTGTGCATTGCATGTACATGACATTTTGAAGATATAAAATTCCGAAAATGCTCATATGTCTTTTGATAATGCCCTTATATTATACAGTGAATCGAAAAAGAGACACTTTAGTCATTTCATATTTAATTAAATTTTTTATCTAGTTTTTATTCAATTATTGATTGGCACTCTAATTTTTTCAGCATAAGTATCTATTTGCTCCAAAATTAAATCTTAGAGATTTTTTTAGAACATATAAGAGTTATACACTTTATATTCATACCATATAGGCATTTTTTACTCATACCTTTAATTTAAATAGTTGAACTCCTTTTTTATTATATATTTATGAAATTGTTAAGACAAGTTTAATTTTAATTATTCTCATACCATATCAATCGTATGCACCCCTAATAATAATAATAATAATAATTGGCCTTAACACTCCAAATTTAACGAGCTATACTCTATATTTTTATTAAAACAATACTATTCACACTTAATAATATAATATTTTAGTTTAATAATTTTTTAAATGGCTGATGTCTCAATAGTGCAGGATTAGTAGTATTAAGTTTAGATTTTCTCAGCATCTATTAATTTAAGTTTTAACACTTTTTACCTTATAAAAAATATATATGTTTTTTAAATTAAAATTTAGAAGTTGACCCGTAGGTCAACCCGTGTTTAAAACGAGACGCTGCCATGCCACGTGTATGGTGATGTTGAGACTTTAGTGTTTTCCGTGCAATGGCGTGGTCCGTCTTGTAATGGAACACTCGGCTGTCGTGAAAGGTTCCCGAAACGCCAAAATTCGGTGGACACCTGTCTCTTTTCGTCTCTTTGCTCTCTCTCTATATATATATACAGCATATATATATATACTGTATATATATAGAGAGAGAGACACACACACACACTAGTAGTAGAATTTGATTTTGAACGAGCCAAACAAACAAAAGAGTTCAAATCATTTCTCTGGTTGAGCTATATCCCTTGTTCGACTTGAATTGGTGCCGAAATCATTCATCATCTACCTATCCTTTTATATGCAGTTATGTTTTTAACTTTAAAAGGGAAAAAAATACTGTGTTTGAAATGGGGAAAATTCACTCTAATTGGAATTAGAAAAGGACACTGAATTGAGTAGAATAATGGTTGGAGTTGCTTGGAATTTCTAAGATTAATTTTTTAAAATTTAGAGAATAAAAAATTTTTTAAAAAAAATTATAAAAACAGTTATAAAAAAATAAATCTTTTAATAACTGATTTTTTAAGAAACTGAACTAAACATAATTCGTACAATTTTATATTTTTAATAAAAAAAAAAACTGTTCCCAAAGTTACAAACAAAATAAGTCCTTAACCAAATTTAAATCTTTTGGAAGGATGCGAGGGATTTGAAAACTGATTATACTATATTTTTTAACTTACCAAATTACCCTCATCTTTTCATATATTTTCCATGTCTTACACTATCACATCTCGAACACTCGTATGTTAAGTTAAATAATTTTTCTTAATAAATATCGCTCTTATATTTCAAGTGCATTTTAACTCTGTGTGCACATTTTTTTTGAAATTTTTATTATTTATGACATAATTAAATTTTAAATTTCATATGGACCCTCAAGGATGAAGTGGGTGCATGCGGTGTTCTAATTAAGTTAAAAGGGATACACATAATTCTGAAACACCTAATAATTTTTTAATTTCATCAAGGGACTTCATCCAACGGTTGAAAGGACACGAACCCCACACTCCCACCTGGTTACTGTCAATAGTGACAACTGTGACCATCGTGTCTATCATCTATCTTATTTGTTTCAATAGTTCAATTATTACAATTGCAAGGAAATGGGCCCCACCACAAAGGACCTGTAGCCCGATAATCGATGCACACGTTCCCAAAGTGGGACCCACCCTGTCTGGACCAGCATTGCCGCGTGTCCCTTTACACGTTGCCGTGTGGGAGTGAGTTAAGTCCAAAGCTCGACGACGGTCACGTGACGTCCCAACCTATTCCTTCTAAGTAGGGACTCTGATGGCGACCTACAAAACGTGTCACCTTCAGATTTGACCACGTGTCATGTCGTGTGTTGAGCACCAACGAACCTGTCCTTTATTTATTTGATTTATTAAAGAGTAAGAAAAAGAAGGAAGAGACTCTTCAACCTTAAAGAGCAAAGTCTCAGTGTTTTTGCTTTGTGGTGTTTGAATATTTATTGTGTAATTTGTACTTTGAAAAATGGTTTTTAAAGTAATTTGTCAGTGAAGGATCAAATCGAAGTTTGTGTTTTGTCTGTTGGATGAAAAAATATCCTAAAGCAAAAAAGCGAAACACACGTTGGGTTTGGTCGTTGTTTGGTTGGTCTTAAATAACAAAGTTGTTGAGCTGGTAAATATGATAATTTTTCAAGGAGTGAAGGACTTATTTTAGTAATAAAAATAATTATAATATATATTTGATAAATTCATTATTATTGTAGAAAACTTCGTAGTATTATTTTTAGCAAAGAGATTAAGGGTCCGTTTGGCAACTATTTTATTATTATTTTTTTTTTTTGTATTTTTGCTTTGATTTGAAGTAAAAGAAATGTTTCTGTTTTAGAGTGTATTTAACACTATTTTGAAACTTATTTAATGACGTAAATTTATTGTAAGATAATTGGAAGCAAAAACACAAAAGAATGTTTGATAAAAAGTGTTACAAGTTTGAAAATTAAATGGTTAATTAAAAATATCATTTTAGTTTTTTTTTTTTAATTGTCCTTTTGCTGTATTACAGAAGTAACTAAAAATATTATTTTTATACTTCCGATTTTGGCCTTGTTTTTCTAAAGTACTTTGCTGACAAACGTTGCAAGACATGCTTTGTGTTTTTGGTTCGCTACAATATACTAAGAAAAAAAAAAGTACAAATAATTGCCAAACAGGCCCTAAATCACTTGCTTATCAAGATTAAAAAACTGTGCAAGATTTTCACTTTGGAGAGATTCACCAAGTTAAAGAGGGGGTTGAGCAATGAGAACAAGAACTCTGAATTGAGAGAGAAGTTATAAAACCAATAGAGATATAGGGAGGACACAAAAATGAAAAAGATAATGTTTTCAATTGTGTAAAAAATAAAAATAAAAAGATTTACGATAATTTTGAGAAAGCAATTTTATAATTATAAAAGCTATTAATATAAACTCAAAACAAATCAAACAAAAACTCACTAATTGATGGGGTTATCTATCTATTACATATAATAGCTAATTAATATCACCTTATATTTTATTATTTCTGAAGAGAAAATATTAAATACCCTCGAGATATGGTACTCTGGGTCAATCCAGCCTTTAGATGTGGTGGGACTCACGACCACATCCATGATTCAACAGCTCCCACTACCTCAGGCACCACAATTCCAAGCACTTGTGTAGTCCGGAACCAAAAAAAAATTCCCATATTAGGGTTCACATCAAATCACCATAATGCTCCCTAATGTATCAAATAATTCCACCGAATTAATTTCACCAAACTCTCAAGCTACACAAAACTCAATACCCCTAACTCTCTATACACTTAATAGAGTTTATTGCAGCTCTCTACTAAAGTGAAATCACCTGTTAGATTGAGAAGTGGCAATAAAAACTCCATTCAAACTGTTGTGGACCGAGCGTGCTACCAAACAATCCGACCTAAGAGCTCAACATCTTCCTTGCGGCCCACACCCCTATGGTACATCCATTTATGCTGTTGGCCCAAACCTTTGTGAAGTACCTGTTTGTCATATTGATTTGCAAATTTGTAAATTGGGCTTGGAGAATACGAGGCCCACAATACATTACCAATTGTCCAATACGTTTACATCTGGGGTTTCCTCTATTATTATTACTTGTATTATTTGCCTCTTTCCATTTACAGGAAAGCCATGTCCTCTTACTACAGAGAGAGTATTAAATGTTCCGGACTCATCCCAACCCTTAAATATATGGGGCCTACCATCACATCCATGAATCAAGGGCTGTCATTGCCCCGGTACCATACCTATTTATTTATTTTCTCCTTTTACTATACACTGGTGCGTAAATGGTATTTTCGCTTTGATTAAGTTACATTAAAAATATATCATAAGTTACATGTCGTTCTCATGTTCTCCATCTTTCTATTGACTTATTTTACGAATTACCTTATAACGAATTCAAAACACTACCATATACCGTGACCTTCAAAATATATCTATATCTATATGCATATATATATATCAGTATATATTAATTCACACTAACAACCGTCACCACCCAACAAAAGAAGAAAGGAATATCCAATGAATATTCAACGTCAAATGAATATTCATTCAATCTCGGTAAAAACAATATTAAATGCTTTTGCATCTACCTTCACGAGCCCCTCCTAATTCCGCTAATTTATTTGACTGATGCATCATAGATATCGATGAAGAAAACATACGCTACCAAAAAAGAGGCCTCCAAATAAAATATACGCATATATATATATATATATAGACACGCGCGCGCGTAGTATTATGTATATAAAGAAAAGAAGAAAGAAAGAAGATGCACCCACTGTCCACTTTGAGACCACTTTTCTTGCTTGCATTAGGCTAGCTGAGGCTTTGTTGTTTCTTGAGCTGGCATGGGGATGATTTGTTATGCGTCACATTCTCATATAGTTCCAGGTGAGATTTGATATACACTTCTTAATTATTTCCACAGATTTTGAGAAAAATTGTGAGCACTATAAAGAGAATGTGTAAAGTAAAAATACTGAGGAGTTGTGCCATAATTAGTTATTATTTTGGGTAGAATTTTGAAACTTATTTACTCATATTTTTAGCATGATTAAAAATATGAAAAATGATTATTTCACCTACTAGTTGCAGTGAATTATTAGACCTACTCTTTTAATTGGTCAATTATGTAACAAATAAGGAAGTGAAGCCCTCCACTTAGTTATATTTGATATAAATAGTCAATTAAAAATTATTGTGTTAGGCATTTCACTGCAACAATTCGGTGAAAGAATCATTTCCCTTGAAAATATAACAACTTACATACATATATTGAAAAGAAAGGCTACCGACAGGTTAAACAAAATTCATTAAAAGTAAGTATTTTAGCTTCACACTGCAGAAGAAAAAAAAAAAAATTATAGTTTTATTTCGTGGGTGAAAATTATCAATGGTGAATTCTGATGTCAAATTCACCCAAAGCAAATAGTAATAAAATTCTATATTAGTATAAGAACAAAATTCACTGTGAGTGAATGGAATCAAATAAAGTGAGAATGTAATGTTTTTGTTTCAATTCTTTAGTTTGGTAACTAACTTTAAAATTAAAATAATGATTCTTGCGCATTTTCCGAGAATGGTGATTCTCACTAATTCATTCCACTTTCTAACTAAATGAATGACCATTCAATTTCTACTTTAAAAAATAAATAAATAAAGCATTTGATGAAACGTCGGCTGCACACACACATATATATATATATGTTTTACAAAAATATAATATTTTTTTGTACAACCAAACATGGGAATCACATTTCATTCTCATTCTATTCTTTGATTCATTCCATTTCTATTTTATTTCATTCCACCAAACTAACTAGTCTAGAATGAAAGTCCCAAAATTCACAATTTGAAGAATGTTTTCCAAACAGTGCCTTACTTTTTTTGGTAAGCACAAAAGATGTTTTCCGTGGCATAAATACACCTGGGAAACCGTGTGACAGCAAAATTGGGAGTTGCAGCAGCAGTTGCTACACCCATCGATGCATCGCCAGACTGTGACCGACCCAGTCACTCCATATGTATAAACTTTAAGGACCGAGCGGTCATTTCACACACTAATAGTTTTTTAAGCCAGCCCTAATAACGTGTAACAACTTAATTTTTAGAAACAATTTTGAAAGAGTCTAGGCTGGACAAACAGGTAAGAGTAAGAGCGTAAGACTATTGTGCTATACTGTATTAGAACGAATATATTAGAACGAATTAATTGTAAAAATTCCAAAAATTTTGATTTTTCTTTGTCATAGATAGTGTAAATGAATTTTGAAATAAAATTTAGCTTTATGATTTTTATATGTTTGTCTCAATAATTATATGAATAATTAATTAAAAAGAAAATAGTAAAATAAATACCTTTTACTCACACAATATATTCTCCCCCTTTGTCAATGGAATAATTGGATTTGCATGTGAAGTGAACTGGTCCATATTGATATATTTATTAAAAGGTGTTCAATTTTGATTTCGTTTTGCCATGACTCTCCAATCAAATCAAATCAAATGGACCAATATAGGTTTGCAAAAATACCTAGTGGCGGTACATTATTCACCAGCTAGCTATTCTGCAGACTCAAAATCATACACCAAATCTCACCAGCTAGTTATTTCGTCATGTCCAACAAATATATTACTGTAATGACAAACAATGCAAATCTGAATAAAATAACCTATTTCACATCGGAAAAATATTCCGGTACTAAACTCTCGAATATTTCAGCCGTTGAATGTGGTGATAGCCGCTTTCTAACTATTCAAATATTGAAAGATTTTGAATTTTGGAGATTATAAATATGATATCGGGATATTGTAAAGCTTTTTCCTCTTATTGCTGAACAATTCAACAACGATTACTAAAAAAACGTAAAGACCAAAGTGATCAAAACAATACGTTTATAACTTTATACATACATTGAACCAAAACACATCCAACTATACATACAGATATGAAGAAATATGTATTTTGTATAATCGTACTAGCTTAATACCAAAGCCACAAGAATTGGAACGCGAAACAGAGGAGAGCTCTGTGTTTAGGCTTAGCATGGATTGTTTTGGGGAGGATTTAGAAACTCAGGGTCGAGCTTGGCTCGACAAACAGGGCAGACCGACTTCTTAGAGAGCCACGTATCGGCGCATTGTAGATGAAACCCGTGATTGCAACCGGGTAACAGCCGAGCCGGTTGGTCCCACTCCATCTCGTCCAGGCACACCGCGCACTCCGTCCCCAGAACCAAGTCTTTGCCGGTGATTCTCGGCAGTTTCTCGAGTTCCGAGGCGGAGAGCCCTATCCCCGCCGCCTGTTTTACCGGCAACCGGGTGTCGTCGTGATCGGTGTCGCGGGCGAGGCTGGCGGCGTACCACAAGAGGCACATGTAGACCACGAACACTGCGCTCATGCCGGCGCACGGTAGAAAGAGTGCGAGGAACACCGAAAGCAGCATTTGTTTTGTGGTGGGAAAAAAGTGGAGGAGGGAGGGAGGGGTTTATAAAGGGGGGCGTAGTGCGCACCATAGCGCAAGGTAGGGTTTTCTGGGAAAGTGGGAAAAATAATAAGAGTGGTGGATTTAAGTGCGTGTTTGGCTGGATGGAATCTGGAGTGGGAAATGAAATGGGGTTGGCTGTTGGTGAGGTGGCGGCTTCTGTATTTATTTTGAGGAGGTAACGGGTATTATGGGGAAGCCAAACAAGGAACAGAAGTTCATTAGTGACGTGTTTGGCGTTTCGTGGATGACAAGAAAGAGGCATAATATGGGTATTACTGACTGACACACTTGCATTTTCTTGACCCACTACTCTCGTTTATTTGTGTTTGGAGCCAAAGAAAGTAATGAAACTCGGTGGGGGCAGTGGGATTCTCGATGGTGTTTGGTTGTAACCGTTACGCATTCCTTTCCGTTTTACTACGTAATTGATATCCGTTAAAACTTGACACTTTTTGAGTGGAAATTCAACCGTTCAAAAGAAATGCTTTTCATGGTGCAATTGTGAAATATGAGGCATTGACTAAATTCACGTGATTTTATGATTGAAATTGCACACCTAAGCTGTATAAGAGTAATTTTGCTTAGCAATCCTCTCTATTAAACCAAAGGCAGTAAATTGGTGTAATTTGAGTTTAGAATGGACGGACCTTTCTTATTTTTGCCCCCATGTGTGTGTATATATATATATATATATATATATATATATATATTTCAAGACAAGAAAATTAAATTAGAAGTTATAAGTGTGATTTCCGTCCTCAATTCCGTTTAAATTCTCCTTTCCCATCCCCACATGTCCCACCTCGCATGTTCACTTTTTGCTCCTATGGAGACCTTAGCCCTCGACCTTCTACTTTGAAAAGTAAGAAGATACCAATAAGAAGGCCTTGGTTTTAGTGTTTAATATATAAAAGAGTGCTTAAGTATTTGAGAACTGCAATCAACACACGTTAACGCGAATTCATAAACACTTCTCTTAGTATTTTTAGTATTATTCATGTACATTTTATTATGAAAAATGATTCTTGTACTGAATAGTTACAATGAATTGATAAATTTACTTTTTTAATTAGTCAATTATCTAACAAAAAAAGAAGTTAAACCCGATTGAACTCTTCATTTAATTATATTTGGTATAAATAATTAATTTAAAATTATTCGATTAGATAATTTATTATTTAGCGTCCGATATTACTATTACTATTCTTTAATTAACTATTATACAATATAAATAAGAGAGGAAGGGTAGCAATCACCCTGACAGCCTCACATCCATGAAAGTATTTTGTCGACTCTATTTTCCGGGTTAAATATGACTATATTGGAGTACGTGGCGTAGCCTTTCCTAAAAGCAACAAAGAGTGGAAGAAAAAACTCCAATTATAATTTTGTTGTACAGAGAAATATATGGCACCATAATTTTGCGTGATTGCTGGATCATAATTTGGGTCTGAATGGGCCCCGCAAAGGAAAAAGATTGGGCTACAACCTAAAGTACTGAAAGTGTTATCAACAGATAACATATCTTCAAATGATAAACCCCACTTAGTGACTTCCAGTTAGATATTTTGTACGGACATGAAACCCTTATCTAATAAATTAAATACTAGTATTTGTTAGACTTCATCTATAAGCCTAAAAAAGTTAATGGAACGTATTATAACTTGGGCCTTTTTGTGTCTGCCATGCAAAAGGAGATCTGTAATATTTATTTGAATCCAATGATGATTTAGAGTCTAAAGTCCTCCGATAATTCCGACTAATTCATATAGGTGTTAATTGATGCCATCATGATATTTTAATAATAATATTATTAATTTTTACTTACATAAAATTAATTGAATATGTTCGACCATTGAACTTTCTATCATTACTCATTTATATACACAGCCGTCGTTAGCTTTTGTCACAAATACCTTGTCTCAAAAGCTATTATGTGATATCAAATAAAGGTAGCTGAAGTAATAGAAATTAATTGGGAATTGCTATTAATAAAGCAGGCAGCATGGTATAACATATGCAAGCCTATATGGATACACACACTCTGGAAATGAAAGTGCCTCTGCAGTAAAATCCACCATGTAGCATTGAAATCTCACTGCCATCACCAAAATCAACCATAATTTTTGGACCTGCAAGAGATGTTCCAACCTCTATGCAACTTGTCATATTGATGAAATTGCATTTGACATTGGTATTACAATAATAATGCAAAATTTTCGTTGCCTGTAGTTGGTGACACTGACTTGAGCCCGGTTAATAGGAAGAAAATTCTGACTTAGACCATCTTCAATGTAAAATGTCATTTTTGCATGCCAAATTTATATTTTGAGAAGAATTACAGTGTCAAAATACTATATTTTAACAATTCTGCTTTAATGGTGCATTTCATCCAAATGTTATTTTTTTACATAATAACCATTCTTTTTCAACTACCATTCCCAACTACCAATTTTCAACAACCATTTTTTTTTTTTTTTTTGGTGAGTGTTATTTAGCTTATTTGCCTCATTAAAAATAAATAAAATATAAATTATATATTTGATTATATTATTAGTAACTCTAAACCAAAAAATAAAATATTTTTAGGGCAAATCATTAAACATTTTTAGGACACATCACTCAAATAATAAATCAACTAATTCACCACAAATCTATAATAAATCAATCATCCTCGTGCAACCAGCAAAAGTATGTCGACATTAAATTATGCCATCGAAATTCAGGAATTCTCAATCTTAATTGTGGATACAGAGTAAAAGAGATGAACTATATATATATATATATATATGTGCGTGTGTATATATAGAATTTCAAGGTTATATATATAGAGAGATGAAAATAGAAATTGGAAAGTAAATGGGGAAGTGGGTTTTGCACATAATAGCATATTTGGCAACCGCTACAGTTTGTGTTACATTTGGCACAAATTTGACAAAACTATATTTTGGCAGCTCATTTGACATGTCATTGGAGAGCCCATTTTAAACCCACCTTTTATATTTTGAAATTGACAGCCCATTGGAGTTGCCCTTACTGGGGTCATTTAGGAGCCTTAGCTGGTGGTCTCGGCTTTTTCCCTCTCGACGATAAAGCTTATCTCCCATCGTTTCACAGTTTGCCTTGACCCCTGTTATTTTATTTTGAGGTCATATCTAGTATTCAGAGTTTGTCTCGATTTCGTACCGCTTTCGCAGCTCGCACTGAAACAGTGTTTTACCCCTCTTCGTTTCTCCTCTCATATTTGTACCCCAACTAAAGTTTGTCTAATGAAAGCCAACCACTTGCAAGAAGGAAATACAACATACTCTTGGATCCTGCAGAGGGAAACAGACTATTAAGTAGACTGATCACCTTTTGAAAATGTAGGTAGAAAGAACAGAAGTGTACTCTTAAATTCAGAATGCTTTGGACCAAAATATGTTGGTAGGAAAGATACAAAACTCTGGGAAAAAAATATATTAAAATGATAGTAAAATAAGTTCAATTCTTGATTTAGCATCAAGGGAAAAAGCCTAGAGAGTCTGCAGCTTCCTTGCCAAAGAAAAGCGAGACTGCAAATACTGAGATGGCTCCACCAAAGAAGTTGAAAATACGAAGAGAAAGCCCTGCTTTGCCATCTTCCCTAGAACAGACGTACCGGCAAACAGCCCTGGGCACAGTCACTACAGGGAACGAAGCCTACGTTGTTATGGAATTAAAGAAAAAGGGACATCTGGCTACTTCCAGAAAAGGTCCAGAACAACCACCCGAACCCCGTTTGGTTTTATCTGAAACCAACTGCCTTCTCCCAAGGTGCACGAGACACTCTCAAAGGTACATTTAATATGTTTCAAAATATTTTTTATAATGCTTATAATTTAAACTAATTATTTTACTTCATACTCTCCCTATAACAATCAAGTTTTAAATGTTTCACATGTATATGCATGTTTTTTTAATAGTTCACACTAGACCTGATTTTCGTGATTTATCATTATCATTTTCCCAACAAGGTGCTCATTCTAGATTGCATGAGATGAGGACTGAGTTAAGTGACTCACACTTTGCAAGTCATATGAACACCATCTCTAATTATTTAGCCTCTGGATGTTGCTTAATCACATACCTGAAGATATGAACAATACTGTTTTCCCATGTGGTTTCGCAGTATGACTCAGGTAATATCAAGAAGCCCAGACATTGTACGGACTTTTCCAATCCCCACTGCCTATGCCTTCGCCATTCAACAGTTAGGAGTAGTAAAGGTCTCCGATCTGACAACAGACTTAAGTGTTATACCTTGTTTTCCTACAGTCGGCCACACTAATGGAGTGCCTGAACCACACAAGTACGTGGAGTTCAGATTTGTACCTGCAAGCGATGGAATATACGAGAAATTTAGGAATACAATTTAGTATGGTAGACCTAAAGGTGAAAGATGGAAATGCACGGCGGTTATTGAGGCAGCATTATGATGAAGGCATGCTTGAGCTGCAATGTGTTCTTCCAGAATCTAATTACACAGATACTATGGCAGTTGCTCATTGTTTGTTTCTGAAAGAGAGTGATGGTGACCCTAGCAACCAGTTTGTGGATCTCACTAGCTTTGGAGACACAACATATGATATGATGGTTTCAAACCCTCATTGTGGTGTCAAACTCAGTTGCTTTGAAGCAATTTCAGAAGGAGCTAATCTTATGGTCAAATGCCTGAATGAAGTATTGTTTTTGAGATTAAACAATGTACCTTTTTTCCTAATGAGAATCCTCCTAATCGTATGTTTATATCGAGATAGAATGCCTTATAACGAGTTATAACAACTACAATAATTTCATCAGAATTGATTTTCTTAACAAAATAAGGAAACAAAATAAAAATAAAATAAAAAAACCCCAAAGAGGAGCCCAAAAAATAATAATAATAATAAATAAGCAAATAAATAATAAGAAGAAAGAATAATCCTCAAAGCTGTACAAATAAAAGAATTCACTTTTAGATGAGGGCAAGGTGAAAAGGTACCCATCAACTATTTGATGTCCATAGAATCCTAAAATCAGGGGGTTCAGGTCCTGTTGACCCCAGCCTTGTTGATGCTGCTTTTTGGTGAATACTGATAATCAACTTCTCAACAACCTACAAGTTGGACAAGCCTAATTTAGCACAACCATAAATAGTGAACTCGTGCCTCTCAAAAGTCATCTGGTGCAAAAGACCTGTGCTTAGGTTTAATACAAAAGCGCGGAAGAGAGTTTCAAAATTTTTGTTTCCATTGTAGCAAAAGGTAACACAGAGAGAGCCCGGCTTTGGCAGAATCGATGTGCACCAGTAAGAAGAGATACATAATATAGACAAAAAGCCAGGAATATCCTCGAGGACAGAGAATCTACCTCAAGAAAAGGTATTCAATTAGAAGCACCAAAAAGGAAAGAAAGAGAAGTGGAAGGTGCATCTTTTTGGAAGGACACAAGTAGAGATCTTACCAGCTACCAACTCGGAGCAATTGAGAAATGGTAGAACGATAGCTGGATGGTTGTATGGCTTCAGCTGCAGTGTCTGTTTCATGGCAGCAGAGAAATGGAAGAATCAATCTATAATAAGGCTCTGGCAGTGAACTTCATGGCTAACAAACCAGATTATCTTTTTGTCATGGCAAACAACACCAACTAATTGAATTGATACAGATGAAATAGAAACAAAATTTACTACGATAGAAAAATGACTATGTTATTCATGTGAGCAACAACACAAACAAAACCCTAACATGAATTTGGACTCACATCTGCAATCAAACGTCAATCATACTTGGGAAGTCCAACAATCTGTAAGATTCATCTACAATGATGAAACATAAAACTTGTGACAGAAAAAAAAATAATAATAAAATAAAATAAAAAAAATCTAAAGACATACCAGCCAAACTTCAGAATATAAATGCAATTTTCCATGCTACATGACTAACTGTCCTAGACAAATCATATTTTGATGTATCAAAATTTTCAAAAAGGTCTAGAAGAATATGATAATTGAGATGTATACCAAATGTAAATACATATCTGGTACAGAATAAAATTAAACCAAAATAAAGGAGAAAGAAATCCAAAAAAAAGAGGCCTAGGGAAATATAAATAAAGACAAAATCAAGCAGAGCTCACCCACCCTCTTTTATGCCAACAGCACCCGCAATATATTTCAATTTTTCCCATCCTATCATAAACCAAGCTCAGTAACGTGGAGCACATGAAATCACCAGGAACAGAAAAACACCATCGGTTCACATGACAACTAAACTATGCAACCAGATAATCCCGCACAGTTTTGCGAGATATTCCCCAACACTTCCTTTTCTTTCTTTTCATTTTAGAGAAGTTAGCTTGGGTGCCTGTGTGTGTATTCTTTTACTTTCCTGTAAACTGCCAAAACATGGGCTTTGTCCAAGAGAAAATCAAGGAAACTATGTTCATAAACCTTCCAAAGCAATATCCTCTCCCACCTTCCAATCCAAGAACCATATAAGGAAAACTGTCCCAGCCTTGAATGAACAAACTACATTTTTAAAAGCGTGAATTTGTCATATCTGGCTATAACATTCTTCTTCCATAAATATTCTCCCCATTAGACAATTTTGACTGGCCAATCAACTCCACAGATGAACACTTGCCCGGAGCTACCTTTTTATGAGGATCTGGCCTACCCATAATAGTATTACACTTGGTAGTCACTGCATCCTATGTGCCCTTCTATAAAGAACTTGCTAGCGAATTGTAATTTGATCCACCATGAAATTGTGAGGCCAAGTCAGCAGGAAACTGATTAGAACTGGTTATCCAATTTCCCCACTCTTTACGCCTCCTTACCTTGCTACCCTGCAACATGAGGAGTACAGTAAGACCATATGGACAAAAATGACAGTAAATCAGCAGCTTCATGCTTTTTATTTGCCAGAAAAGGCAGCAGTAACTCATAACACGTCCAGTGACAGGTAGTACACTGCTTCACTTTTACTATATACAGAAATATATTCAATGTCTAATTGAACACCTCACACGATTTTTGTTAACGGAAATCAACACATTAATGAAAAAAAGCACCTCACGAAATTACAAACAGATTGCAGGGAGTTATAATCTCCTGTGCAATATGAGTATATGAATATGAGCAGATTACTTAGTGCTATTAGATGAAAAGCTACCTGTACTTCTACAACTGTTGAAGCTCCCAAGGAATCCAATATCTGTTTGTTAAATGCTGAACCTGCAAAAACCATAGCCATTGAACAAACTTGATCTGTGAATGTACAATCACTAATGCTAATGATAATAATATAAAACTAAATAAAAATACATTGAGCAGTGGATCTTGTTCTGATGTGAGTCACATGACAGGTATACTAACAAGCAAATATTGTAAATACAGGATATTTTAAGAGAATGTAACCCCCAAAGTAACCAATCTTCTAAGGGTTGGTATATTATTATTATCTGCCAATCATCTCAAATCATAATTTTTACCATCCTTGAGGGCATGAGGAACAACAGGCAAGGACAGTGAATAGGTTGACATGGTCAGGGGTTTGGTATATGTCAGTATTGGAAAGGTGTTGTTTCATCCTATACATATGGTTTTGTCAATAAAATACAATAGTCACCCATGAAGCCATGACGAACCACTCAGACAAGTAAAAAGATTAAATAGATATAGGTCATATAGCCTAAATAAATAATAGAAATGCGACCAATTCTTAGAACCAAAAAAAAAAAAGTCACCTGAATGAAATATTTAAGTATTACCTTTAGTATCGTATCTAAGAATCATCTCGAGAGAGATAAAAAAAGATGCTGAAATAAAGGTGCAAAAGATTGAGAAAAGAATTTATGAATCAAAAGGTAAGGAAATTGTCGTCTGAAAAATACATTTAGTGTAACAGTCCAAAATCAGTTGAAAAGGGTCAAAGCAACAAGAAAATTTGCCAAAACCTTACTATTTTTACCTCAGACCTCACAAGCAACATAAATTATTACAGCAGACAGCAAAGAATTCCTCAGTCAAGAACTCTAAAATGTTATCTCCACACGTTAAGGAAATAACACAGTATATGGGGACTAGAGAAACAATCAACAGAATATGAAGTTTCTACAAAGGGATGTAAATGAACAAGAGAATAGAGTATTTTCTACCCATAGTCTGCATGGGTTTGCACATTCTGCTTATATCTTTTTGTAGAGTAGTAATAGCATGCCTCAGAAGACCATTAAAAAGATCACCAATAGTCCCCACACGAACACATCCCATCTTTGAAGTGATGAAAGCGATTCGTGTCTCTGACAAAAATTTCCCTCCCTTCAAAGCTGGATATAAATTTTATAACAGCATGGCAGTCCCCACAAATCCTAAGGTTCTTTATAACTTGAAGGGGAGACCCTGGGCTAGTGTTCAGAATCCCAAACACTACAGCCAACTTCTCACTGTGCCCACACAAAATCTCCTCCTTGTCATGTTCTTCAACATCTTGCAGCACAAAGTCAGTAATTGGAACATAACCTGATTTCTTCATCTCCATGCTTAATTGATTCAACTTTTTAATGATTTCACTCATTTGAGGATGTGATTTGTCTCCTGCTAAAAGCATATGCACCTTGTTCTTGACCTCAATCCAACTGCAACCAGGATTTTTCCTCAACCCCATATTCTTCATCCTATACCTCACTTTGTCTACTTCATTCCATTTGCCGTTAGAGGCATATATATTGGACAGAATAATGTAGTTCCCAGGATTTCCAGGTTCTAACACAAATAATTCCTTGGCAGCGACCTTTCCCAAACTCAAGTTATTGTGAACTTTACAAGAACTCAGTAAAGATCCCCAAACACAAGCATCGGGCTCCAATGGCATTTGCTGGATCATGGAATATGCCTCTTCGAGCTTTCCTGCACGACCAAGAAGGGTCACCATGCAAGCATAATGCTCCACTCTAGCTTCAACCCCATACTCTCTGGACATGCTTTTAAAGTAGTACTGACCTTCTTCTGTTAGGCCACTCTGGCTGCATGCAGATAACACACATGTGAGGCTAATGGAGTCAGGCTTCTGTCCACTCCTCTGCATCAAATGAAATATCTCCATTGCTTCCTTAGCCTTTCCATGCATTGCATACCCACCCATTATCGCATTCCAGCAAGCCAAATTTCGGATCGGCATCCCATCAAAATAGAGCCGAGACGTCAGAATCCTTCCACACTTGGCATACATATCAATCAATGCACTACCCACATAAACATCATTGGACATCCCGATTCTAAGAGAAAAGCCATGAGCTGCCTTCCCATGCATTAATGCTGCAATATTGCCACAGGCTGGTAACAAGCAAGGGATTGTTACAAAGTTTGGCTTCACCCCAGCAATCTGCATCTCTCTGAAAAGGTCCAGAGCCTCCATATCTTTGCTATTTTGAGAGCAACAAGCAATCACTGACGTCCAAGACACAACATTCAAATCCATCCCTTGGTCTTTGAATTGCCTAAAAACCATCAATGCCTCATCCGCAAGACCATTTCGTGAGAGCCCGGCCACCAGTGCATTGCAAGCACCTATATCCGATTCATCCATTTCATTAAACACTTGCAACATCTCTGACGTGCAGGCACACTTACCATACAAGTCAATAAGAGCTGTAACCACACACTTATCAGAATCAACACCCACCTTGATCACATAAGCATGAATTTGTATTCCCAATTCAAAATCCTCCGTGTTCCCCACTGCAGGAAGAACACTGGAAATAGTAGTCCCATCAGCCTTAAAACATTGCAAATGCATCTGCCGGAAAATATTAACTGCTTCCAAATAATGACCAGTCTGATTGAATCCTGCAATTATCCCATTCCAAGAAACTAAATTAGGTTCAACCCCTAAATTTCTCATCTCAGAAAAGGCTTCCTTTGTCTCGCTTACACATCCTTGTCGTGCATAACCCGCGATTAAAGCACTCCAGGACACCACATTTGGTTCAGGCATTTCGTCCAACATTTTGTGGGCATCCATGAAGTGATTACACTTAATATACATATGAACCAAAGAGGACTGAACAAAGGAATCCGAACAAAACCCACATACCGAAGCAATGCCATGGACCTGTTGCCCCACTTTGAGAGCCGATAGTCCAGTGCAAGCCTTGACGGCACTGGGTAGGACATGACTATCCGGCATGAGACCTCGAGACATCATTCGAGAAAATAAACGCAAGGCATTACTGAATTGACTGAGTTTTGCATAAGCATAGATGAGAGTCGAGAAAGAGAACACATCGGGTTCGGGGACCGAATCGAGGACAATCTCTGCGTCGGCAAAGCGGCGGTGATTGGCATAGAGCGAGAGCATCTTGGTGGTGACATGGGTTTCATTTGATAGACCAGTTTTGAGAAAGCAGGCATGAGCTTGTCTTGCTTGTGAGAGAGAAGACGTGGATGAACTGAGACAGCTGAGAATGGTGTGCTGAAAATTACTATCGAAGAGATTGAGAACTTGTCTTGTCATGGCTTGGTCAACATGTTACGTCCCAAACAACTACCACAATAGATTAAACCACCAAAATTAGAGAAATTTCTACTTCTAGAGTCAAAACTTCTAAGCAGAATATGAATTTTTAGTGTATGTGTTTAATTTCTTTTTACTATTGAAGTACTGGCCTCGTGATAAACGTTCACTTTTATTCAACTCCGCAGTATTTTTATTTATTTTTTCTTTATTTATTTAATTATTATTATTATTATTATTTGTTAATTGAAGAGAACTCACGCACACGTTTGCCATGGGCTCAAATCAAGACAAGTAACAATAACAAGAATATGATTTCTCCATACCTAACCAAGGCAAGTGAGACAAAATTTTTTCTTTCTTTTTAGATATGTAAAAAGGCAAACAAAAATTAAATGTTCCCTCTTTTTTAAGAAAATACCAAATTATCTTTTAAGTTTGAATATATAGAATATTAAGTGGTTTTTTTATTAAAAAAAATTTTAAAATATTTATGAAAAAATGTACTGTAGTTTTTATTTTATTTTGACTTTTTTAATGGAATAAAAAAAAAAGAAAGAAAAAAAAGATAAACTATATTAAACCAAGACAAAGGGAATAAATACTACTATTATAGGTCCTTTTTTTTGTCTTTTTTTTTATTTATCATACAGTCAAAATTGGAGTGGAACACCCGCATTAGAACACCATCCACCAAAGTAGTTGTTAAGGGATTGTATGCTTTGTAACTCTAAAAACAGTTATAAAAAATTCAAAGAATAGAAAATTGTTTTTAAAAAATTATAAAAAATAGTTAAATGAGAACATACATTTTTATACCTGAATTTTCATTAAATAGTTTTCAAAAAATTGAACCTAAGCAAAGTTTTTTTTTTACAGGTTTTTATTTTCAGTTGTCTTTAAATAGAAAACTGTTCAATTTTTATTACTTAGACCAAATTTTATAAAATAATAATTTTACCCTTCATGAAAAGTGTGAAATTCCTTTGTATAAAAATTTGGGCAGTAATGATTTTTCACTCTCAAAGACACCTTGCATAACCAACAAATATGTTTATTGTTTAAGAAAGATCAAAGTAATAAAGACTAAGTTGCTAGCTCTGTGTTAATTTGTCTAAATATGAGAGGTTGGTTTAATTTATTCAGTTTTATTTTGACTTTTTAAATTCAACAATTAATAGAAAGAAAGAAAAAATAAGTGAGAAATATTACATTCCCCCGAGTCACATAAAGCAAAGAGCATAAGCGAAATTGAGAACAGAAATGTGTGAAAAGTTATAAATAATAAGAATTTGAGTCAGAATACACGCATACTGTAAGTGCATCGATGCGAATGACGTGATTTAGGTTCTTGGATAGTCTAAATTGCACTGGACCAGCAGGTGCGGTCCAGTACTATCCACGCCACGCTAGTTGCTAAAATATTCTCAACGCTATTTGTCCTACACACTCTCTCAGATTCGAAGAACCAATCGTAGAGAGAAACAAAAAACCAGAGATGGAGAGACTGTCATCTCTGTTATTCCTGTTAGTAGGACTATTTGCTTCCAAATGGATCATCGTTCATACTCAGGTCTCGATCCCGCCAAAGCTAGACGGCTTCGCCTACAAGAACCGGCCGGCGACCACCGATTCGGTGATGATTGAGGCCTTCTTCGACCCGGTCTGCCCCGACAGCAGGGACGCCTGGCCCCCTCTCAAGCTTGCCCTCCAACACTACGGCTCTGCCGTCTCTCTCATCGTCCACCCCTTCGCTTTACCGTTAGTAATTCTATCTCACCCTTTTTATTATTGAATGTTTTCTCTGTTTGGTTGCTGAGAAAGCAAAGGAAAAGAAAAATGAAAAGGAAAATTATGAAGGATATGCTTGCTTCGTTATGATGTCCAGAATTTAAGAAATCAAGTCGATGATTAGGGTCTAGGTCTGTTTCTTTGTATAATGTTTGATTATTAGCTTAGTGATCATGTATTTGTTCTTTTGCATATGATAAGTCGAAGAATTAAACCAATTCTGGTGGAATATACTTCAGGTTGTTGACTTTATAGATCATTGTGTTAGCTGAATTGAATATATATATATGTGTGTGTGTGTGTTTGGTATGTATATTGAATCACATTGATTATCTGGTCTCTTTTGGACCTACGCGCATGGTGGAAATGAATTAATGACGCCGTACACACATGAAATGTGTGGCTTCTTTTCATTGAAATTAGTTAGCCAATGTTGTTTTGTCTTTGTCTTCCATGGAGCATTTTCTTTTGCGTTTGTGCATAGACGATAAGAATTAGGTGCTGCTTTTCCATAATTTTACAAAAATATTCAATACACAACTTGAAATTATTTAGATTTTGTATTTAATTTATTTTCTAATGTTATTTTGGAACCTTTTATATAGTGTATCTTCGGTGTCTAACCGCAACCAATTCCCATCTCTCGAACCTGATACCGGTTCCTCCACTTTGAACCATGGCCTTTATTGATCAAGTTTGCTCTCTGTGTCTCTTATTGAGTTTGATAAAATCCAATCCAACCTCTTATTGAATTCCCAATTGATTGAAATCATGAGAATAGTTATAGAACCATAATATCATAAGTTGATAACTACTATATTAATGACATGATATCTCCTCAAATACAGCCTTCAGTTTTACAAATTTTATTGATTTTCTAGGCCTCTCTGGCCCTTGGAGGAAATAATATGTGAAAAATAGGTTTTTTTTTTTTTTTTTTTTTTTTTTTCCCCTTTCGATGTTTCCTTTTTTATTTCCAGTGTCCAATTTTTCATCCTGAGCCCATAAAAAGTTAGGCATTTGCTGTGAGGAGGCAGCCTAATTATTTTTTTTAGCAAACATCATGAAAATGAATATCCAGGATATGAAATCTTATGACAATGGTATGGTGTATGTGGGTTTAGATATAGTAACATGGAAAAAAAGGGATTTGTGTAATGATTCCAATTTCCAAGTTGATCAGATTACGGTTTTGTCCAGTTAAGTTCAAATGTGAATTATCTTTTAGATGATGTTTTCAATTATTATTTCAGTTTTATATTAAATCATGGTTTTAAAGAACGATTAACAATTTTCTTTTTTGGAAATTGTAGTTACCATGATAATGCGTTTGTTACTTCCCGTGCCTTACATATTGTAAATAAGCTGAACTCTTCTGCTACGTACGACTTGATGGAGTTGTTCTTCAAGCACCAGGTAAGAACTCTTGATTCTCAAATGTCTATCTCAAGTTGCAAAATAGTCAACCAACCACAGTTTATCATAGTCCTAATCTTGAGTGTATAAGCAAACTCGTAACGAGTTGACTTTGAATTTGCAGGATCATTTTCACCTTCCATTCAATTTTTTGCTTCTAATATCTGGAAGTAATGTTTTTCACGTGATTTAAGATATTCAAAACTCAGTTTAAGTTTCCATTTTTTAGCTGTGAAGGATGCAATTTTGGTTTATTGCAATTATGAGTGGAGTTGTGCTATTATTACTTTTCTCAATAACAGCATGCCCTTTATTGAAATATAATTTTTATGTGAAGTGAAATCAGTTGTAGAAATAATCATGTAAAGGTATGCTCAAGATTTGATATGGGATCCTTTCCCTAATGCATATTTGCCTACACCGGAAACTTTTAGAGGGTCATCAAATAAAATGCACAAAAAATTGAAGTGTCATATTTGAGGGCTATAGGTCAATCTTTAAAAGAACCACCGCGGGTCTAGCCTAGTGGTGTCTCCTTTTTCTCTCACAAGCCCAGTTCCTCTGCAATACACATGATAGCCTGAGAGGTAGAGGGTCAAGTCCTCGTGATGACAATAGTTGGTGTGTGTTACGAAATAAATAAAAATTAGAAGATATTTTTCATATCCAATTATTCTGCTTCAACCATGACTAGCAGTTATTAGTGTGAGGTTTGTCATCAACTTTTTAATATGGCGGTCCAATAATTTTTTTTTTTTTTTTTTCATAAATGAAAAAAGAAAAAAAGAAACACACACAAGCATATGGCGGTCCAATATGTTTGTGTACATTTCTATTATTACTTTTTTTCAAGAAAGATGTATTTATGAGATACTGGAAATAACAAATTGCATATGAGTTTTTAACGGAGTACATGGTTGCATGGTTGTTGATCGGCTAGATGGTTGTTAATCGGCTAGATAGTTTTATTATGGACTGGAGTATTATGCTGACTAAACTTGAAGAATAATTATTAAACAGGAGAAGTTTTACAACCCACCTACCTTCAACATGTCCCGGGCATCCATTGTGAATCACATAGTTAAGTTTGCAAGCGAAGGAATTGGAAATTCTTATTATTCTGCAATTGAATCTGGCTTTAGTGACCGCAGTACTGATCTTGCAACAAGGGTTTCTTTCAAGGTAAGACCGAACATTTTTTAGGTAAAATGTTATGCACGACTTGAACTATAATCGCACATAAATTTTTGTCCTTTAAGATTTTCATTCAGCAGGCTCACTCATCGATTGCATGAAACATCAATTCATGTCATTCCTTAATGACATGCACGAGCCCTGTTTTATTCCATTATACCATTAGCTCTATACAATCTTAATTCATATGGGACTTTCTTTGTTGTACAGTATGGTTGTTCGAGAGGGGTGTCTGGGACGCCTTTTTTCTTTGTTAATGGATTTCTGTTACCTGATGGTGGCTCGGCCATACACTATGAGGACTGGAGAAGCATCATTGATCCTTTGATTGGCATGAAGAGGGAGGAACCACCAATACATTTCTTCTTATGAAGAATTGGGTCTTGTGTTACACTGTATCAGATCTTTAAGAATTTATTTTGATTTTGTTTGTTTGAACGCTAAGAACAGAGCACCCGGAAGCTACAGTGAATAAGATTTTGCCAAAGGAATGGTAAGTCAATCGAGAAAGTGTATCAAAATAATTAATTCTTGAGAAACTTTGGTGCAGTTGCTGTTGTTTCTTGGGTGAAATGTCATGAATTTTTAAATGAACGAACGAGTAATGGTTGACTTATGACTCGCGACTGTGCTAGTGGCCTCGTGCAATATGTTACCGTTATTACAGCTCTCCTCTCCAACAGGATCGCCGAATAAGACGATAACATATGTGCACTTCCCCTTGCACGGTATCCTTTACCGAGATTGCCCTCTAATCCTTCTCCGAGATTGCCCTCTAATCCTTCTCGGGAACCCAGTGTTTTTGCAAGTAATTTTATATTCTCGCATATGCTGACAGAGTATAGGTTGACAGAGTATAGGTTTCTCTATTGCTATCGCATACTGGACCAGTTTTTTTAGAGGATGTGGAGCTTATACGCATTGTTAAAATTTTCACTCTAGGTGTGAACTACAACTGTATCATTTACAGGGATTTAGGATTTACTCTAAAATTTAATTTGAATAGGTACTATATCTAAGTTATCTATAATTTGTTTTTTCTTATAATTATATTAATATATCAGAGAAATGATTTACAAAGAAAAGTAAAAGAAGCAATGATTGAGAAGAGAACTAAAAGAAGTTTTATTGCTCTGTGATATATCTCAAATTTGTTCAGCAAACACACCTATATATAGTGGCAGATCAAGACATAAGATTTGTACAAAGCCTTTACTTGCTCCACAAGTCCAATTTCGTGCTCCCCACTTTGCCTGACCTCCAAGACTTTTAGCTTATGCCACAATATTCAATGGGTGGATCCCACAATCACAACACTCCACCTTAGAATCCACCCTATTACATTAAGAACATGTTCGTTAAAACTTTGCTAAGGAAAACCCAGTAGGTTTGATTAAGAACTTGTATATCTGAAAATGGTATTGCATGGGTTAAAATTGCCTCGTTAAGACCTTGCCAAGAAAATTCAGTAGGACAAAACCTGGACGAAAGAAAAAGAGTACAGTATGCCAATACCACAAGTGGACATGAAAGACTTGGCTAAGAAATCCAGCTTATGGAATCCATCTAGCCAACCGAAAATTGATTTGGTTGCTGGTTCAAGTGGACATGAAAGACTTGTGGTTGAGACACTTGTTAGCCTTCTGCCTGTTGAGAAACTTGCTGTTCCCATCAATTTTCTCTTTGGGCTTTTGCGAAGTGCTGTGATGCTTGATTGCACAGTTGCTTGTAGGCTTGATCTTGAGAGGCGGATTGGGTCGCAGTTGGATATAGCTTCTCTAGATGATCTTTTGGTCCCCTCCTTCCGCCACGCTGGTGATACTTTATTTGATGTTGATACGGTTCATAGAATTTTGGTTAATTTTTCCCAACAAGATGATAGTGAAGACGATATGGAAGATGCCTCAGTCTTTGAATCTGATAGTCCTCATTCACCCTCCCAGACTGCATTGTTCAAAGTTTCAAAGTTGGTAGACAATTACCTCGCTGAAATTGCACCTGATGCAAATCTCAAGCTCACTAAATTCATAGCAATTGCAGAAACTTTACCATCACACGCACGTACTATTCATGATGGGTTGTATCGAGCCATTGATATTTACCTCAGAGTACGTTCTACATAACTTTTCTTGTGAGATTTGTCTAGATAAGACTATTATGTGATTTGGTGCCAGCTAATTTTGGAGGGAGGGATTGGAGATAATTGGTTAAAAATAAAGTTGACAATAAGCTGCTTTTCTAATTGTTTCTTTAAACTTGTATTTTTTTTTATAAAATATATATATATATTTTTTGTTTTCCTTTTAAAAAGGCACAAGATTGACCAAAACCAAACAAGGATCCTGTGTGCTGACCATTGCTATATTCTTTTCCTGACTGTTTCCTTTTTAATACAAAATGTAGGCGCATCAGGGTTTATCAGATCCAGACAGGAAGAAGCTCTGTAAGCTGATTGATTTTCAAAAGCTCTCACAAGAAGCTGGTGCACATGCGGCACAAAATGAACGCCTTCCTCTTCAATCAATGGTCCAAGTGCTATATTTTGAGCAGTTAAGGCTCCGAAATGCCTTATTCTGTTCTTACCCCGAGGAAGAACACAAGCCAATGCACCAGTCATGGAGGATTCTAAGAACTTGTATATCTGAAAATGGTATTGCATGGGTTAAAACTGTCTCATTAAGACCTTGCCAAGAAAATTCAGTAGGACAAAACCTGGACGAAGGGAAAAGAGTACAGTATGCCAATACCTCTTCGATCAATTGTTCCCCCTCATTGTTGCATTAGTTCAACCCTGAAGATCATTTAGTTGACGCATTCCAATGTTGTGTACCCGCTTTTTGAATGTTGTAATTGGAAGCGTTTTAGTGAATAAATCTGCTAGATTTTCAAATGAACGTATATTCTGAATATCAATATCACCATTTTTTTTGCGTTCATGTGCATAAAAGAATTTTGATGAGATGTCCTTGGTCTTGTCACTTTTAATATATCCTTCTTTCATTTGTGCAATGCATACCGCATTATCTTCATATAATACTGTTGAGTTATCTTTTATTGATGATAGATTGCATGTTGTTCGAATACGTTAAATCATGAATGTCAACCAAATGCATTCTCTACTTGCCTCATGAATTGCGAGTATCTCTGAATGATTTGAAGAAGTTGCAATCATTGTTTGTTTCATAGATCTCTATGATATAACAGTGCCGTCACAAGTAAACACATATCCTATTTGTGAATGAGCTTTATGTGGGTCAAAGAGATAGCCAGCATTTGCATATCCAATTAATTGAGAATTTGGTTCTTTTGAATAAAACAATCCTATATCAATTGTACCACAAAGATATCGCAATATATGTTTGATTTCATTCCAATGTCTGCGGGTTGGTGCAGAACTGTACCTTGCTAATAAATTGACTGAAAATACTCTGTCAGGCCTTGTGCAATTTAAAAGATACATAAGAGCACCAATCACACTGAGATAAGGCACTTCAGGACTAAGGAGATCTTCATCATCTTCTCGAGGACGAAAATAATCTTTCTTGACATCAAGAGAACGAACAACCATTGGAGAGTTCAATAAATGGCCTTTATTCATATAAAAACGTTTCATAACATTTTCTGTATATGTTGATTGGTAGATAAGAATACCACTCGAAAAATGTTCAACCTGCAGACCAAGGCAGAATTTTGTCTTTCCAAGATCTTTCATTTCGTCCTCTTTTTTTAAATAAATGGTAAATTACAGTAAGACCCCCTTAGGTTAGGTCATTTTTCAGCTAGATGAAAATTTTGGTTTTAACTTTCACATACACCCCAATTTACTTTTTGGCTTCTGATACATGCGAATTGACCATTTTACCCTCAAAATTTTAATTCAAAATATTTGTAATCTTAAATGACAAAAAAGCCCCTATATATGAAATGCATTGATGAGTTGGTAAATCCAATTTCGAAAAATAATAAAATAAGAGTTTTATTTTTTGTTAATATTACCGCTTACGGTTCTAGTCAAAATCCACCGGTTCCGGCGGCTTCTTTGTCCCCAAACAAGTTTTCGATCTTCCTAAAGGCAGTATGAACCACAACAACCACCACTCTGATCAAAAGCGCAATCAACGCAATCAGTATGTTGCCCGTCGCCTGAGTCAGGAACATAAACAAGATCATCATAATCGAGAGCACGATCAGCACAACTTGGTCGTCAATCGAGCGGCTCATTACGGAGGAAGTAGAGGAAGAGCCAGGCGGCCATTATGACGACAAAGACGATCAGCGAGATAGGGTGCCGAGGAGGCTGAGGAAGAGGATCAGGGGGACGACGATGGCGTAGTTCATGCGGAAGTAACTGACGTTCGTTCTGATCCATCCACTTGCGTCGCGAAAACCGGTGGAAAGGTTCACGTACTGATCGAAAGTTGCTCTTTCCATAGCCATCACGTGTGTTCGTCGTTCCGACCTCCACCGCCGCCAGCGATGGTGACCTAAACCCAGGCCGTCTCAAATCACTCAAAATATTTCGACTTCGAATATAGCTTCATCGATTAACGGAATAGCCATGACTAACTCCATAACCGCTGTCGATGTGCCCCTACATTTTTGAGCTCTCTGCCGCGATTCTGCTGCCACTATAGAAAAATAGAGAGGGGGCCGTGATGTAGCTTTAGTTGTTCAGGCCCACTGGCCAGTAATAGGTTTTTGACTTTTACATGTTGTAAATAATACAGTAATAAGGATAAATCATCTTCATGCCAATGCCATGGATAAACCACCTTTTGGCTGGCCCACTAACGGGAACAAAGAGAGCAAGCATATTACACATTAGTCTTATGTTTGGGGTAGTTTGGTCACAAGAAATAGTCAAAAAGGAGGTCAAAGGGTAATATAGTCATTTTATACTTAAAAGTAGTCTGACATCACTACAAATTCACATTTGGGATGTAAGTGAAATACGAAATCACTCTTTCAAATATAAGTAAAAATTAAAACTAAAATCTTCATCTAGGTGAGAGATGACCTAACCTCAGGGAGTCTGAGTGTAATTTACCCTTAAATAAATGGCCGTCTTTTCGATATCGTATAATGTTCCCACAAGATTCAGATCATCAACATATACTGCAACAAAAACAAAACCAAATTCTGATTTGTTAATAAAAATGCATGGACAAAGGTGATTATTTACAGACCCATCTTTGAGTAAGTAATCGCTAAGGCAATTGTACCACATTCATCCAGATTGCTTCAATCTATATAAGGATCGTTGTAATTTTATCGAGTACATACTACGTGGTTTTGTTTCAGGCATTTTAAATCCTTTTGGGATTTTCATATAAATATCACTATATAATGATACATATAAATATGTTGTAACCACATCCATTAGATACATATGTAATCTTTCTATGACTGTCAAATGTATTATGAATCGAAATGTGGTTGCATCAATCACAGGAGAGTGTGTTTCCTTATAATCAATACTAGGTCTCTGTAAGAAACCTTGAGCTACTAGTCGGACTTTGTACCTTATAATTTCATTTTTCTCATTACATTTTCATACAAATACCCATTTGTACCCAACAGGCTTGACACCCCCAGTGTTTGGTATACAGGTCCAAATACTTCACGTTTAGCTAATGAATTTAGCTCTACTTGTATAGTTTCTTACCATTTTGGCCAATCATTTATTTGTCGACACTCTTTGACGTTTTGAGGTTCCGGATCCTTATTATCAATATCAAGAGTAACGACATATAAGAATATGTTGTCGACAACAATTTCATTTCTATTTGGTGACTCCTTGGGCAACACACAAAAATGGTGTACTTTGGTGTGTACTAAAAAAAAATGTATAGTGGGCATCACATTTAAAATTTATAAAACCACTAGACACTTATACTATGTAGTATGAAGTGAAAAGGGATCGTCCGAAGAGATTGTAAGGGTACTTGGAATAAAATTCGGATTAGTAGGTCAAGTGATCAAGAAAGTGGTTTGGTTTGGTTTAATTAAACTACAGTTGAACTTAAAAACATGCAAATAAAAACAAGCTAAATTAAGTAGGGTTGAGAGAATAGGAGAGATGTCTTAGGGTATAGGAATCAACACTAAGTTCTTCATCTAAACCACTAACCTTCAACAATCTGGGAAAAATCAATGTTGTAAACTAAGTGTGTGCTATTAATTGTAACAATGAACATGGATATAAAAAACAAGCATGAATTGTCTACTTAACAAAAAATAAGCTATGATGTAGTACAACTCATCAAGTTAAAGCATAAACCCATAATTATAACACACATCAATTTAGAGAAATATACAACTTGTCACAAAAAGCATGAATTATCAAACTCAAGCATGGATGGTTTACCTAATCTAAGAATTGAAATGCAATTACACTACAATTAAGTTAAGACAATGAAATTAAACCAATTAAACTAAAGGTGTAGAACAATCCATCAAGCATAAGCATAATCCATCAAATCAATCAACAAATGTATCCAATAATAACTATATATAACCATCACTAGATTCTCAATTTAATCACACATAGACATGCAATAAATCTAAAGAAACTAGTGTAGAGACATAACCCTCAATTTAATCACACATAGACATGTAACAAATTTAGAGAATTAATTGGAAGAATTGAACCATACAAATCATAGACAAAATCAAGATTTATATATTTACAAGGTTAAAACATTCATTATAACAAAAAATCCCCAAAAAGTCAAAGATCTAGGGTTTAAAGTACAAGCCTAAGGCTCTTCCAAGCCCTAAGATGGTGTTTAGCCATTCGTGGATATGGTCATGGAACCCTCACGGGCTATCTTCAACCTTGGCTCCATCTTCTTCCTCTTTCTTAGTAGAAACCCTAAGGATGATGATGTTCTTGCCTCTTTTCTTCCCAAAACCCTAATTCTATAGAGAGAAAACTATGTATCTTAAAGTGTATCTAATCTAAAATTAGCTAACTACTATAAAAATGGCTCAATTTGCCTTTTATACAAGACCTTTTTAGGCCAAAATGGGTCATAAACATGCCTAAAATTGATGCAATCCTGCAGCCAAAAGTTAGGTGAAAATCGGGCGAAGTCGAGAATAAAACAGCTCACTGCCAACAGAGTTGCGATTTATCGTAATGATCTGCGAACGATTGTGGATTTCTGCGATCGATCGTAAATGACGTGGCAGTCTTATTTTGATAACTGGAAATCCTATCCGCTAAGTTGGCGCTGACGTAGCATTGCGAACGATGACAGTTGGCTGCGATCGATCGTGAATTGGACGAACGATGGCGTGGCAGCCTTATCCAATGCTAACATGGCTGCGAACGATGATGTGGCTTGCGATCGATCGTGAATGTTCCAGGGCAATTTTTTGAACTTTTTTTTGAATTTTCTGCTTGACTCTAAAAGGCCTTAATAGACTGTTTTTAACCCGTTTGAACCTTATTGACCTGAAATAGACAAAAACACGAATTATAACTAAAACGGGAAAGTAAAATAGATGAAGGGACTAAACTACCACAGCTTAGGTGCTAAAATGTGCAACATTTGAGCACTTATCACTATTCCATTTCATTCCATAATTTATTAATATTTCATCATTTTTAGGTACCGTGCCTCATTAAGGGCATGTGCCTCATCAAGGGCCATATCATCATTGATTTTATTTGCGTCATTAATATTTATTATTTCATCATTTTTAGATATCTAGGCCTCATCAAGAGCCTCTGCCTTATCAATGGGTATAATCTCAAATTGATCAATAATATATGTTACTCTTTTGTGGCCTATTCAACAGTGCCAATTTTTCTTTACGATTTCCTCTTACGAGGAACAGTATTTTTTGCACCGATTGGTCTGCTACGCTTCAGGCGTGTTTTAGATGCATTTGCTGCACTGCTGACAGAACAACAATTCGTGTTGGAATATTTGCAGCTGATGTATGTGATTTTATTACTTTTTTTGTATCAGTAAATACATCAGGTAATTGATTTGCAACATTTTGCAAGTGAATGATCCTCTGAACTTCTCTTTTATATTGATTTGTAAGAGGATAAAAAATGAGACAATTCCAGGGCATTTCAAGCAATATTACGTTGCTGCTGTGCCGTTTTTCCCCCTAATGGTGGGAAAACAGCCTCATCAAAATGACAATCAACAAATTGTGCTTTAAAGATATCACCTATCAGGAATTCAAGATATCTAATAATAGATGGAGAATCAAAACCAACGTAAATTCCAAGTTTACGTTGATGACTCATTTTAGTGCATTGGGGAAGTGCAATTGAAACATATCCAGCACAACCAAAAACTCGTATATGAGTGATATTTGGTTGTTGACCAAAAATAAGTTGCAATAGTGAGTACTTATGATAAGCAGTTAGTCGTATACGAATTAAGGATGCAGCATGTAATATGGCATGTCCCTAGGCATAAACAAGTAATTTTATTCGCATAAGCAAATGATGACTAATTAATTGAAGTCTTTTAATAAAAGATTCTGCCAAACCATTTTGAGTATGAGTGTGTGCAACAGGATGTTCAACATTAATTTCAACTGACGTGCAATAGTCATCCAAAGCTTGAGAAGAAAATTCAGCGGCATTATCAAGACGGATTGTCGTAATTGGATAATCAGGAAAGTGTGGCAGCAATTTAATAGTTTGAGCAAGAATTCTAGCAAATACAACATTACGAGTATAAA